GGCTCTGTATGTTTTGTTGTTCAAGCAAAACATTACTCATTCAGGAAGCCATAAGCCTTCCAGCATTAGCTACTAATAAGGTCGATGAAGGCCGTGCCGTCAACATGGATACTGATAACGAAGATTGCATCAGTGTCGTTAATGCTGCCATGTGCCAGACACCCAATTTTGCAACACTAAACAGAAATTTCTATTCCGATACAACTAATGAAAGACACGCAATTAGGTAATGAGGGACAAGTTGCTTTAGCATTGACTGATGATCCGGCTAGAACCACTATCGTCCAGAGTAGTTCCAATCTGGATGCTGAGACTCGAGGTAAATGTATTACGCGGAAACGTAAAACAGAAGGAGAAATACCCAAAGAAAGCGCGCGTATAGTTGACAAGTCCTTTTGGACTCACGACCTGCGCATCAGGCAACTCTGCTTAAGTCCAAATGTAAGAAAATATTTAGCACTGCTGTGGATGGGAACAGTTTGGCTTCACCAAATGTTGTTGTGAGTCAAGAGCATAAAGACTTAGGAGTAACTATAAGTCACGACTTGAAAACTACTACGCGCTGCAATGCAGCTGCTTCCAAAGGTTATCGTGAACTATGGTCGCTTAGCAGAAAATTTAAATGCTCCGACGAGGGTATGTTTCCAATTTTTAAATCCCACCTATGTAAGGCCACACTTAGAATACTGTATCCAAGCAGCTAGCCCATTTCTGATAAAGGATACTAAATCGCTTGAGCGTGTCCAGCGTGTGGGAACAAAACTACTGAAGGGTCTTTCTGAACTCCGTTACGATGAGCGTTTGAAACGTCTAAACCTTTTCTCCTTATCTTATCGTAGGACACGAGGCGAGCTTATACTGGCAGTTCGTATCTTTAATTATGATTTAGTTGTTAGTATGTCTTATCTTTTTGCTCCCTCCAGCACTAATAATCTCCGAGGTCATAGCAAGAAGGTTCAGAAGCCGCGATCTAATAAACTAAAGGTGGGGTCCCGTTTTTATAATAATAATAATTTATTCTCAAATGACAGATTGTTACGTGAGGCATGCCGGTTTACAGGCAAGATCAAATTGTTAAAGAAGTTACGATTTTCACTGTTGAAAATTACTCAGCTGGGTTGATATTTCATAAGATATGAATGTAAATGGATTTCGTAAGAAACATATCAATATCACACTTTATGCACTTTATGGAGGTAGCGTTGCAACATACAACTGATGATCGAGAATAGATACATGCGAAGTTGTGGGCTTTTAGAAGTTTCGAACTTATATCCCTTCGGAATATCTGAGGCTTTAATAACGGTGTAGGAAAAATGTTTACTCCGTGCAAGGACGGAGTTGGGAAAAATGAGATAAGACTCATTGTATTGTGCCTCCTCACGGAAATCTTTAATAAAAGGCAAAAGATTTATCCGCAAATGAGGAGACACCAGAGTTTTTTTCTCATGGATTGGTCAATGACTGGAACGCATTTCCAGAACAAGTGGTATGAGCACCATCGGTGAACATTTTCAAGAAGTCGCTGTACCTTCACTGGAAGGAAATCTGTCAGGATTAACACAGGTTCAGCAACCTATTATCCTTATTACTGAAGACTGAAGGTAAATACAACTTTAAATAAAATTCGGTTGTGGCTAACATAGTACAAGTTCTTCGATGCAATTCCATGTATAGACTATGCAAGTGTTTCTGAGTTACGACAAGTGAATTAAAAAATCCGCCAAGTTAAATGTTAATCTTGTTCAGGATACTGTCCGTCGTTTGTTGATATCGGAGTTCGACTTTACTGAAAAATGCTTTTGAAGAAGGTAAGATTTCCATCCAATTGGACTGCAGGTTTACCTACTGCAATAACTTTATGGTTAGAATGAAACTCAGTGTTCTGTCTATTTTCCAAAACTTTAGAAGTTTGAAATATAAGCTGAAAAATAAGCTGTCAGCAGTGATAAATATCACATTCCTTAACCATAGTATTAAATAGAATCAATGTATAAGAAAACTAGATGGACACGATTTTTTCAAAATTCAAGAAGTATCGAAATAATACCAAAATTAGCATATTTGTAATTGGATCACCAACAATTGTATTGTAGTGAGATAAATTCAGGACAAGTTTGATTTGCATTGTGTTAAAATGAAGCCATTTTTATGGCGAGTCAGTCTTGTTTGATCAATACCAATTGTATGTGATTAGCAGATGGATATTCGGGTAGGCAATGAATCAAACGATGAAATGTTGAGCATATTCACACCAAAGGCACGGGAGTCAACTAGACAACTGAGCATAAGTTAACCAATAGCATTGAATTAATGCATCCGATAGTCACATGCGATATTCGACGTATTTCGGAGTTAGTAGATAGTTGTGTGAATTTGGCATGTTTGACCCAATTATCAAATATACGCTACACAACACCAAGAGCTTACATGATAGCGACTGGCGAAATCTAAAAATAAGTGAGAACGATTGAGTGTCATCTGCTGATCAAAACGATACTGAAAATGATTTGGATGAACATGAAACAGTAAATTTCAGTTTTTTTGAACTGGAGATGAGGTAGTGGCTATTCAGTAATATTCCGGGATAAAAACAACACCCAAAAATTCCAATAATCCCTCTAGATACTCCGAAGGAATTTCCCAGTGTTCAGTCATGATGACACCATTCAGTTTTCAATTTTAATTTTAATTATGATATAGAGCTAACAACTTTTCCAAGATGAGTAACGTTTGTATGTATTTGGCATGGACGTTTATTATTTAAATTCAACTAGCTGCCGGCGCTTGGTAGGGGATTATTATCAGAACAGGTTTAAATCTGGCGACGAACACATCTCATAGTCTGAATAGTCGGTTCGGAAGTTGTTTTTTACGATAAATCTGCATACCATCCGTTAAAATATTTTACTAAGTCACCGTTAACTTCATCTACACGTACATCAGTGTTATTCAGCCGTGGTGAATCTAATTATTCGTCGATGTTTGAACGGAGAAAATTGGTCTCCCTTAACGTGAAAATATAAGGTACGTTAGTATCTGTTGTGAAAGTTTTCTAAGGTATAACAAGACAAAGGGAAATCACCTAAATATTTAACACTAAATGAGATTATATATGTCGCATACTGTCTCATCTATTTCGTTGACATTCATCCATGTTGATTATATCATTCAGTGGATACAACTTTACTTTCGAAAACGATTACCGTGGTATGTGAATATTTTCCCTTAGATAGACCTTTACGTAACCGGTTTTACCCGGCGATAACCAAATGCCGAACGCTTATGCATTTACAGTGAAACGATAGGCTTTTTATTAGAGCTATCCGAAGTTGTAGAGAATTTTATAGTTTTTTATTAGCAAACAAACTGTCGGCATATTTTGTACTGCTTTTTGGATTTTCAGCATCAATTTATTACTATCACTCCAAATATGTTTTCCTTATTATACGCAAGTTTTTTATTTCAGTGAATAAAATGGTTTATTCAAATAGCTTTCGTGAGTCCTAAAGGGTAATGTTCATAGCAAATGAATTGTTGTCTTAACTCAACCTACACATGTTTAACAACAATCATATAATTCGGCAACACAATCTTCTGTTTTATTGATCTAATCTTTGTATTAGGCAGACATTTACTTTTAGTACAAAGATAGTATTCCTTTACCCCCCAGAAACTCAAACAATGGTGGCAAGTCGCAAGATAATAATGGCTTCTAAAACCTACTTGTTATATTCCCAAAATAGTGATGGAGCTCGTAGATAGTCAGTAGAACATTAAGCTGAATCTCGCAGACATAATTGCTTAAAATTCAGAAGCCCTTGTGTTTGTACATACCTTTCACTATTTTTGGTGTGATGCACTTAAATAAACAACATCCATACATATGTAGCGGTAAAAAATTTGATAAATCAATAGCTACGTAGGTCTTTGACATTTGATGCTGGCCTTATAAGTTGCCAGGGGCTCACCTAGCTGAAGTTGCTCGGTCGTGAATCCACACCGGATGCAAACCTTTGTACGACGAATCGAAGTTTTCATTGAGCCTGTTTTCCATTACTGTATTGTACCACGTGGCCTCTTAGAGTAAAGGAACGATGACCGAACGCTGCTGAAATAGTAAGCTGTCAAGTGAGTGTTTACCAACGACAAAGTATTTGGTTTTAAACTTCTTATTGGCCACGCCTTGGGGTCATCAAGACTTCTACAATTTATTTATCAGCATTCGCTTTTTAAACAATGTTATTTAATAGTTGGATGTCTAGAGTTGACGTCAACTTGAATAATGTCAATATACTTCGTCGTGATAACGGTAGATCTATTTCTGCCTTATATGCTTATATATATAATCCTGGGTTGGCATTATGGATGAAAACGTGATGTCACATTTACAGGATAATTATATATATATGACTAAAAAGTGTGTTAAAACGAGTTACTTATCCGGAAATCCGTCACATTCTAATCGTAACCACCAATCTAGCAGGTTTTCGAGCTAGCTTCCGAAGAGTAATTTCTAGCACAGTAAATTGACTTCAAAAATATAAATAAATTGGTTAGAATCCCTTTTTGTTTTAGACAGTCTTCTGTTGTTTAATTACTAATCTACGTCCTGTCCTTGGCCGCCAGAACTATTTAAAGCAATAACTGTGTTATAAAGTACTGTCTGGTGACAACTCATCCTTTCAATCTTGGAGTTATCTGGAAAAATAAAATGTTTCTACATGATAAATCTGTCACAATCAACTAACAATATGAATATTTGAATCGTGTAGCTGATGCTGCAGTACTTAACACAGTCAAACGATCCAACTATAACTTATTTCTTCAGCTGCTGTCTATTTAAAAGGCATTGAAATCCAAATATAATTTATTGCGCACATTCAGGAAGAAAGAAGACAGATCAGATTCAAATTCACATACAATGCTTTTTTAGATCTTATGAAACGTATTTGAACAATTTGCCTGCTTTGTTAAAATTAGTCTGAAGGTCTCATCTATTTGGTTTAAGTACTCTGATCCTCAAGGTCAAGTTGGAGATTAATTATGAAACTGTAAACATAAAGCGGAGTTTCCTGCTTCTTCCAGTTATAAGAATAGACTCATAGTCATTCATTGTAAAACAATGAACTCATCAGAAGGTTTGATTCAGCATGCCAGAGGAAATTTTAGAGAAAGCTTCTTATCCTCTGAACTAGGAGAGAAAATTGGTCTGGTATCGCTGTTGATTCTTGAAATAATTTGTACAGGTGCGTGAATGGATCATCGGTACGGGAACAAAGTTATTAGACTCTCAGACTTCTAAACCGTATAATTTTGAAGAAGCCTGTCAGATTCGTAAATCCCACGAACAATTCGAGTTTAAGTGTATGGTTGGTTTTTGCTAGTCTTTTTAATTTTGTATAGAAAGCTTTGGAGGTCTTCGCTGAACTTTGTGATTACAGGAAGCAAAGTAGCATCAATTTGGAACTGAGTGAGCTGGACTATATGGTACAGAGTTTTGTGGAAAAGCTAAATAGGAGAACGTTTTTTGTTGTATCGTGCTATACTTATTTCAGATTGGTTGAAGAAGTAACAAATATTCACAAAAATCGAATCTGATTTTAGCTTTGGAATATTTTGGAAGAGTTACAAAAGAGGGAAAAGGAGGTCGATACCTACGATGGAACGTCCATAAAAAACGCGATATCTGATTTAGAGCACGGAGTTGAAAAGTGTGAAGTGAGACTAAACGGTCTTGCTCATGAACTTGAAAGACTGAGAATAATCTTGAAACCTTCTGATCCGGATTATCTTGGACAGTTAGAGGATGGATTCAGAGACGCATGTCGAGCTGCCACTGAAGCAACACAATCCCTCAAAATTCGCAAACTTGTCCTCAAGAAGCACTCCAAGGTTTGTTGACGGTTAGTATTTAAGAGAATAGCATCTTAAAACCTTTGTCAAAAATATATACGGACAAACAATCTTGACAAAATTTAAAAAGACTGCTAAGTATCAAAAAAACTATTCGATATCTTGATGACTTAAAACTTTGAACTGTTAGGACATGATTGTTCACCATCACTCAGTTTCTCTAACGACTTTTTCAGATCATAAAACAACAGCAGCCTGAACATTCCAATTTTTTTGAACGTATTAAACATTAGGGTGAACTGTTTGTTGTTATAGCACATGAAACATGTATTTTTTTGCAAAATAATGGTATCTGTTACTAAAAAGACTGCTTGTTTTCGCCGTAAAAATGTAGTTGACCCACTCAAACTTTGTCTTCTAATTGTTTGCTGGGTTAGTTGAAACTATGGAACTTTGTATCCGTTTGTACATGCAAACTACGTCAGGTTAAGTTTTTGTTAGCTTGTTGCTCGTTCTTTCGGTAGTCAGATCACACATATTTTAAGACATTAGTTCTTGTTATCTAATATAATATTTACGAATCTGCCATTGTTTTTCTCACAGTAATATCACAAAGCATTCATCGGTTTGGGTCTGCCTAATATGAGGGGGTGATGAAACGAAACTTTATTGACGACCTTTAATGACTCTTAAAATGAACTTGCTAAATTCCGAATACTTATTATGTTCAAATATGGTTCAGAATTAGTGCCAAAAATTAGGGTGGGGATTCATTTGCAGTAATTAGAATAACTTTTTTATTCACGCACTGGCATCAACTGTAACGCAAGAACACTCTAAGGACATAAGAATGAATGAATTTTACATAAAAGTCCAAGAGGCACTATCTTTTATCCGATTGGTTCGTTTATGAAGCTTAGTGTCCACCAAGACATTTTTTGGAATAAATCAACATGGATCAATGCATCTATCCATTTTAATTGGCATTCAGAACCTTTTAGCAGTGTAGGTTACAGTATAACAGTGTCAGTTTAAGAAATGAAGTTTTACAAGTGCACAATGTATCTTGAAATATAGACTAAGGATAGTTCTTTATCAGTGATATAGATGACTGTTATCGCAACCTTAAGGTTTCCTAGATATCATATTATAACAGAAGGATATTCTGCCTGGTTCAGAATGTTGTTTAGCTCCCACTATTACTGAATCCTTAAAACACTCTGTAAACAGAATAGCAGCTGTGTTATCTATAGTAGTTAGTTCCGTTAAATTTGTTGATGGTGCAAAAATATAGTTCGTTGTGACATATGTATAATTCAGCTTATTTATGAAGTTTTTTGGAGACATTTTAAATCGTGCATAATTAAAAATCATGGTCACTTTGAGTAACAATTGTTTTGCTGGTTATGTTTTACAGTTGATATATGATCAGTAGTCTTAATAAATTATGACTAAATATGTTTAAAATACACCTGAAACTCGGTAAGCTGATTATTGTCGTATAATGCTCTCTAAGATGTAGCACGAAAAGCATAATTTAATCATGATAGCTTGTTTCATTCTGTGGATAACTGGGATTCAATAACTTTGGCTTCAAAAGTAAGTCTGCAGAAAAGTAGTTAACTTATTTAAATAGCTACATGAATTTAATTAAGGGGGAAAAACTTAGCCAATTAAGCATGGATGTCTTCTAAACAATGTACAGAATATTGCACATACAAATTATCATGTTGAAATGTTAGTTAGCCGTTTTCCAAAAATGTTAAATCGATTACTGTCATATTTTATACCGGGAGGTCATGATAAAGTGCACTCACAGTCAAATGGTGAAGTGAACATGAGACCTTCAGTGCATTTCATTTGATAGCAGTGATGAAATACTATATCACTTCCAAATCCACTGACCCTATAAGTTATCATGTTCTCTTAGAATATTACGAAATTCATTTCATAACTAGTCAATTGAAAATTAATAAAGATTGTTAACTAAGATAACTGTATTTTAAGTTTGTAATATTCGCAAATAATTTCAATTTTGAACTAGCCGTAACCGGAAAACTGTAGGAAATCATTGTGTAATGTATAGAGAACATTTGAAAGGCATGAAACTTTGACTCGATCGATGTTCAATATTTTTTGATATTAATTCTGCAACTGATGTCAGTTTCTGATAAAGTGTACTTTTTGATTGGCAGATGAGTTTATACTTAGGTGAGCGATCAATGAGTAGTATAAATGAAATTAATCTTATTTCCCAGTAATAAGGCTGTGATTATAAATGTTAATTATAGTTCACAATGCTGCTTAAACATGAGAATAGTGCATTTTATATCTAACCACTTGATGTGCTAATTGGTACACCTGATGCTTGTTGTATGGATCTGTTTTTGTTGAAACTGGTTTTCGATAGCTCAGTACCAGTTGTTTGTTTGTTGATATATATATATATATAATCTGCGTTGTACTTTAATTCTTTTTTCAGTAAATATAGTACACAATGCAACTATTTGTGTATAGTAATATTATTGATGACTGAACATATCTGTTTGTAATGAAGGTCTTTTAGACACGAGAATTAAGCTGATATTGATTAAATATATGAAGATAGGGCCAGATTTCCACTAGTTATAGTCACGTTTTAAATTGGTTGTGTTGTTAAAGTAATCACGGTTGGCCTTCATTGTAAATCTAAATGTAGTTTAATCTTCTTCAGCAAATATATCCGACTGAAAAAATTGTTTGTCTGTTTATTGTAAAAACATAAATTAACACTCATTAATCAATAAGCTTTGTTTATGAGACAAAGGTTAACATATTTTGTTAGTCATTGTAATGAAAAATTAACAAGTTTATGCCTAATGATATTTTTATTAGTAGAAGTACTGTTTTCTAATCATTATGTTAGCTGCAGAACCGATAGAAATCAAGTAGTTCTCGACGTCCGCTGAATCGCAGCTTTCCTGACAGTTTTATATCCATTACATAATGATTTTCAACAGTTTTCCCACCTTAGTTTTACTGATTCAATATGAACACATGGTGTATATGGAGTGGATCTATTTTAGCATGTTTTAAAAGACTGTCTCTGTTACTCAATGATCTGTTTTTTGACAGGAATCATTAAACATTGAATTAACCTAAATCACAAATGCAGAATTTGAAATCGTGAATGAAATTCTAACTTTTGTTACATAAAATTTAAACTCGTTGTGGTTCATTCCCTTGATGTTACAAAAGATAAACCAATAAATGTATGCACTACTGTTACAGTGAAGTTTTTTGAAAATTGTTAGGATATCTATTCTCTTTTGATTACTTTTTTAAATACTATTGAATGGAGCCTAAAGTTAGTAGATTTTAGTGAAGGTTTGCATTCGATATTACCGTTTATTGTGTATCGTTCAAATGATATTCAATATTAAGTGCAATCGAGATAAAACCGTAGACTATAATATAACACTTTTATAAAGACTGGAACGATTAACTTGGTCATGAAAATATCGCTAACATTAATTTACAATACTTCATAAATTGGTATTAATCAAATCATCTCATTGTTTTTTCAGTTACTTGAATGTGAGGAAAATGTTTACGAATCGATCGGTTGGATAGAAGAGCTTTATGAAAATATTGAAGTTATGTATGAAGAAAATTGTGTTGGAAAAAACCAGTTGGAGTCCGAAGATCTTTTGAAAAAGCATAATGATATAGAAAATCAAGCAAAAGTAAGTAATATTATACTTTTCAACTCATTAATTTACGAGAAAAGAAATCAGTTTTGATGTTATTCTTTGATGTCTATCGTTTTAGTAGATATTTGTCAAAACTGCCTTAAATATAATTAGTTCATTTTCAAAAAACTATCATTCTATATAGAAAGGAATAAGGCTTACATCCCTCATGTTGGAGAATTGACATAGACTTAAAAACCACAAAATGGTAAAACTAGATCAATATAGCAATTGATGAGCGTCAATTTTCACGTGGTTAAATGAAACTCCCTCTGACTAAGATTATCCGCGAGGTTTCCAATGTTCAATAATTTTATTGAATATAGCGAATTTCGGCCGTTGTTTCCCGTCCATTTGGTCTATGAACTCTGTTTATTAGAATGTAATTTTCAGCACAGATTTTAATCCAAGTGTCTATAGTTATGTTTAAATGTTTATTTTTAACATGCCTGCGTAGCACGAACTGAAATGACAGAAAGAAAAAACTAAAATAGTTAACATTTGAGCCTGAAATGAAATCCTTGATGCAAATTACTCTCCAGTAAGCAGAAATCGCCTAACAACAAAATAGATGAATTGTCTAAAATTGTCAGATGCATTGCACCAGTTAGAATGAAAATAGTGGGGGTGATCTCATCCGATTCTTTGTCAAAAATGTAGGTTAACCATTATGTTAGTTTTAAACTTAGTTGTGGCATGCTTTACATAACAACGTATATTCTGCCAGGAGCTAATCATTTTCTATTCACTTCTGTTTATTAGACATTTATTTTCTTATTCATGAGAGATGTAACTCGTTTTACTCATGTCCCAAACAATAAGAAGCTGTTTGATTAATTGTTATGTTGTTAAACTCGAAGTAATATTGCATCAAATTAGGTTAGTACACTTCATAACAGTATACGGACAGATAACAGGGGTAGAAATTAAATTAACAAAATAAAAATTGTAAGCCAACAATGTTAATATTAAATATAGATAAAAAAACCGAGGGTTTACTCTTTGCAAAAATGACCTCCAACATTTATATCAATAGATTTTTATTAGCTTGAAAGCCTTGATTGACTTTGAACATATGATGTAATCAAACAGTTATCAGCTTTATAAATTGCTGAAACGTCAAAATATCGACTTTGTTAAAGTTCCTTAACCGATATTGTTCCTTCAATAGGTTTGTACATCATAATAGGCAATTATTGACAGTTATCAACACAATTTACACTTTTAAACTGAATTCACTCAGTGTTTTTGCATTTCACCATAATTTACAATACATTATTATCTGTTTACTTCACTTATAATCCAATATCTGTAATATGTTTTCATTGTAGTTATAAATAGGGTAGTTTAGCTGAAATCAACGAAAATGTATATTTGCAGTAATCTTTCATCAGAGATAAAATAATTTCAGGTTTATTTAGTTATGTGGATAACTACTGACATACGGGCACTTATTGTACTCTGCGGGAAACAGGATTTAGAACAAGTGTCTTTGAGGTTGTCATGCGAAAATTCTGCCAAATAAATTTCAAGATTTGACTATTATAAAATACCGATTTCGTTATAATTATTAACTGTTGTGTTCCACTGTCATGAAAATGAGGGTCATAGACCAGTACGTACTTATTCATATTAGCTACCAAGCGAGGTTAGTTTCTTTTCGAACTAAGTAATCAGATCCTCGAACAATAAAGGATTTATCATTTTAGTCTGCCTTAAATAAAAGAATCGCGATTTCCTATCACGAAGTTAAATGACCTCATATTTTAATTTGAAGAAATCATGCACCATTTACTCATTTATCTACATACTTAAGTATTGAAAAGAAAGCGTCTTATATATATGTCAAATAATAAAAATGAGATTATGATGAAATAAACAATGAACAAGAGCCCACTTTAATAACAGGGATGAATAAACACCAACGTATAAGAGTACAAAACGTAATAACAATGATAAACGCTGTTCACTCAAGAAGAACTAAACAAGGAAGAAGTCTTCCAGTTACAAAAGTCCATCCCACTTTCATTACAAAAGGGTAGCCATTAACCTACATTCTGGATTATGTCTGATAACGTCTCAAGCCACTATGTCGTATTATTTATAGGATCCCAACAAGGAACTCGTAACGGATCAATCGATGACAGTTCTGCAAATCTTTTTTCCATGCCACAACACCATGTCACACACTGAACACCACTCCACTTATTCCAATCATTCCCAGCGTTGGTATATAAAATGCATCATGTCGAATCCTCTGATACGAAATCCAAAGTGCATATCGAGACCACCGATGTCAGTGTTTTGATATGGTGATATCAATTGAATTATCACTATTTTATCCAAACACATGCCGAATCTATTTGATACTAACATGATGTTCTTACTGAATACCAGCAATCCTTTGGAGACAACGATGATTATTTAAAAACGTAATGAAAAGAACATTCAAATGTAACCAAACCTTTTAATCTTTACAAGTGTCAGTAGTTTGCTGATAGTTAAATAGATCACATTAACATTTTTTGATGTCGAGTTGTTCGATAAGATAGTTTGCTAATAACATTTATCGGTAAGAAAATTTGCAGAGGTTTATTCTAAAATTGGTTACATATATATACTAAAAATAACTTCTTTCAAATCAGTTCATAGATCATGAATATCATCCAACATCACATTATAAAACTTAGAGAGGTGGCACAAAATACAATCTTTCTTAATATTAATATGTTTCTAAAAGTTTTTGTATTCACAGCAAACATTCAGCAAACTGATTTGAGAAAATTAATTTCACTCATGCAAATCAACCAACACGTGAATAACTATGTATACATACTCACGTAAACTTCAAATTTAGGGTAAATGAATAAGTCTAGTAAGTAGAAATAAGCATTTACATTTTATATAAAATTAACATAGATGAATGCGCATTGTAAACAACTTCATTTATGCATACGTATTAACTAACTGTCTACAATACGTTTCAAGGTAAAGTACATTTATAATGAACAGAACACGAGTGGGTACAATCGAATGTATTTAAGCACAATTTACATACTATCTCAATAAAATTTGGTAACCAGTTAATTTGCAAAATAACAATCAATTGTCTCAATCTTCACTGTTCCTTCTGTAAATATCAGTTCATCTTCTCTAATTTCATTGTTCATACATTTTCGTACCAATTACGCTTCGTTTCTGTTCTTTCCTTATCGATCTTCTGCCAAAATACATTCTATGCCTGACCATCACCATATACTATTTATGTGGATCGAAGTAACCCACACGACATCTTTAATTCGTAGAGAAATATTCGATTATTAACATTGTGTTATTTAGATATGTTGATTAATTACAAATTAATAAACTCTAGATTCTGTGAACAAACTGTTTACAAATAAATAACATGTTGTTAAACTATTTAGATTTGAGAGGTTTGCTCTATGCATGTGAAATCTGGCTTTTCCGAGATAAGGATGCTAGACTACTCTCTAAATTTTATCATCGTTGACTCGAATAGGATAGTGGCTAGCAGTGGAATCCAGGACGCGCGTTTCGCCCTATTTGTGACTCGTCAGCTGGATATACCTGCATCTCATAGTTGATGTTCACTCTGGGACTAGAACCCAGTACGTTTCGCTTCAAACGCCATCGCGTTATCCACTCGGCCACTGAGCCACTGACTCAAATAGATTGCTGATATTCAGTGAGAACACCATGTTAGTGTCACATAGATTCGCCATGTGTTTGGATAAAATGGTGATAATTTAATTGATATCACCATATCTAAACACTGACACCGGTGGTCTCGATATGTATCATGGATTTCGTATCAGAGGATTCGACATGATGCATTTTATATACCAACGCTGGGAATGATTGGAATAAGTGGAGTGGTGTTCAGTGTGTGACATGGTGTTGTGGCATGGAAAAAAGATTTGCAGAACTGTCATCGATTGATCCGTTACGAGTTCCTTGTTGGGATCCTATAAATAATACGACATAGTGGCTTGAGACGTTATCAGACATAATCCAGAATGTAGGTTAATGGCTACCCTTTTGTAATGAAAGTGGGATGGACTTTTGTAACTGGAAGACTTCTTCCTTGTTTGATTTTTCTTGACTAAACTGCTTTTACCATCATTGTTATCTTTTGTACTTTCATTCACTTGTTTTTAGGGATTTATTATGGTTATATAAATAAATTCGTGTACCTGAATCTCAGTCTGTCTGCAAAATTGTCTTATTGTAATATTTTTGTCGTCACTCTGTACCTGATGTCTTATTTCTAATGATAAACAAGCGTTTATTCTTCCAGTTGTCTTTTCCTTTTCAGACTGAGTAACTGTTATTTATAGAATAATGTATCAATTTATCCGTTCTTGAACCAAACATAATATCCTTTTCATTAACGGATGATTTTATTTTATATGATTAATTAACGTTAACGTACATTGTTGTTTTTCGGATGCAAACTTGAAATTCTTTCCAACTGTGTGTTCACTTTATGAAAAACTGTTTTATATTGAATAATTTAAAATCACGACTGGTACTCATTGTTCTACGACCGCATTGATACATTTCATATTTAGGTATTTTCAGATGTTACAGTAAACATATTTATGTTTAGCTCGTGTGTTTTTCTTTTCAAACAATGATAGAGCACTAACGTTCTGGTATATCCATAGGTTTTGACAATCACTTGTTGGTGAAACGTATACAGTAATGAATGTGTTGTAATTGTCCTCACTTTAATTGATTGTTATTTGGAAATCCTATTCCTATGCCGAGTTTCTTTCGTTCGAAAAGTTTGAATATATGATATTGATGAAATCCTTGGATATCCCTTTATTTCATTGTCGTTTTTAAGAATCAGTGACGTAATAATAGTGTTGTAAAACACTTATTTAAAACATTTGGTAATTTATTTGACAATTTTTTAACTAAACGTTTTGAAACACCATAAGAGTTTTTCATTTGACATTAAGTTATTGACCAGCTAAAGTTTCAGCATAGTCTCATTTTCAATAGTCTGTTTGGAGTTCAACAACGTATTAGTATCTTGAATACGATGTCTTTAGAGTGAATTTACAGTTAACCTGCGTCATCTTGTTTATTACTGTTCATTATGATGGTGTTTAAGTAAAGCTGAGGGAATTATTAGTTTGTGATCTGAGTCCAAGGAACTCAAAGGTGAAGCTAAGCGTTTTCTACATAGACTATTCAAGTTGTATTGTTGATTTTTAGTTGAAAAACATTAAATAAGGAAAATTGTGATTTTTTATAGCCGATACAATATTCATTTATCCAGATAGATAAACTAGTATTCAAATTCTGATCACTAAATTATAACGCAGGCGTTTATTCTTATTGCCTTACCTTATTTCAAATTTTTTGATAGTCATAGTACCATGTGGTTCAGGAACTTAATAGTCAGTAAGAAGGGAAGTCAAAATAGGCAGGTTTGAGAGACAACGAGAGATTAATAGCTACTCCATTAATCTATAAATTATTTCTGTCTAAACCACTTTCAAGACCAAGTATAATATGTACATTTTCGATAACTAGCATATCACACAAACGAATAAGTAATAAGGGATTAGGTAAAAACTATTTCTAAATTAACGAAAATGTTTAGTCTAGAAGGATGAATCTATTAGCCTTCAGTTACAATGCTAAGTGCGACTACAAATCTAATAATTTACTGTATTCATTATTGTGCAAATTTCCTATTATTTTTTGTGCGTAGTGTATTATTGTTATTCAGTAATTTCCCTAGTACCGAAAATAAGCGAAAAGATACTTCGGAGTCTGAAAATTAATTATTAGTGAGTTTATTCGTTGAATTCATGAATCAATGTAAGCTAGACCACCATTAAAAACCTGGAAGCACTAGACGGCCGTTTCATCCTAGTATGGGGCTCCTCAGCAGTGCGCGTCCACGATCTCGCACCAAAGGCCTTGAACCCAGGACCTTTGGTCTCGGGCACGAACACTCAATCTCTAGATTGATTGTCTGAAATTTTCTTTATACAATAACAGCTATTTGTATGTATTTGACTCTTTTTTTGTTTCTTGTTTCTGTTTTATATTTGATGTCAAGACAACCTATACATATTGCATACAACTGTTAGAAACATATGGAAAATTATGCGAAGCAGATAGTAGACGCCTACCCCGGAATATAGGAATAAGTAAAACTAGGCTTTTCCGTATATGGCCAAAATTAACTGATAGATTATTGGAATTACAAGCACGAACGGAAGCTGCAAAAAAAGTTTATGTAACAACTGATATGGTATGTAACGTATACATATAAATGGTAAAGTTTACATTATTGATTACGTGTGGTTCTTAATCATTTTTTGACTCGCTGTAATTTTGTTCGACATTACTTCCGTTTTTAATTCAATACAATGATTACTCGGTGTAGTATTTGTGCTATTTTCGATGCGACTTTTTTCAGTATAATATTAAATTTATTTCAGTGTATTGTATAATTAGAACAATATTATTTGTACTAATTCTGTGTGAAATTCGTTCGGTAGCGTGGGTTTTTGTGAAAACTCTGTATATTTCCCCAACGTTTGATAAGTCTTAACTAACCATCAAGTGTATGTAAAACCAATGTATAATTTAGTGTATTCATATATCAATTTGACCTATTTGGAGGGGTCAACTATATTCTAACCATCAGCCTATGAGTTCCCACTAAGCGTAGTCGGATTTGAGTTTTCAGTGTGGAGCACAAGTCAGTCAAGTATTCTGTAAACAGCAATGGTGACATAGCATATGTTGTAGTTTGTAAACAAACGGGAGTTCATTATGATGTAGCTACTAGCTTCCAGACAGTCGTCAGTTTACTTCATTTTTATGTATTTATATGCACTGAAAGATTATTACCCTAATTAAATGAATACTACCTAAGGTGTGTGTGTGTGTGTGATTATCTTTCAACAATGAAAGCGATGATGCAGATTTAATTTTTTTGGATCTTGATTATATCGGTAAAAGAAGAATGAATGATAATTGCAACAAAAGTCAATAAAGAATTATTTTCTTCAACTATATTTAGAACTTTTCATATAACAAATCTTTGAAAAATTCCCATATTGTGATTTAGAACAACATATATAAGCGAACAATATTGTTTTCGATTAGATCCTCATCAGGCTTTACTCTAATATACAGTAATATTTATACACATATACGAAATTATTAAACCAATCAAGGTAGTTTATGAGTCAATGATAACAGTGGAATAGATTACATAATCAAAATTAATAATAAGTGAAAAGTACAAATTGTTAGTGTAATGACAGGTGTACTAGTTGTGATAAGAATAATAAAAGGCTTGAATCAATGTTACATAATAGGGAAATAGGTCAATGATTAGAAAAAATATAGACACTGAAATAACATTCATAGAAATTATATGATTACGTATCTCCTTCTTACGATCTCTTTCTTTCTTACTCGACACGATCTATGGTGATTCCCCAACTAAAGGATAAGTTGCCTGGTTATGCCACTTCTATGTGTATCTATAAATTCAGCTGCTCCTGTGGAGAAAGCTATATTGGGCGCTCGATTCTTTCACACTTGATTGATAGCGGTCATGAAGTTGACAGAAACCAGTCTTTTAAAGTTATTTATCGTATTCCTACTATTTTTCCTTATGGGGTTCGATCTCGTCTCCTACACATAGCAGAAGCTATAGGAATTCGATCCAACAACCCAAGTCTTTGTGTTCATAAGAAATTTGTAACACCCTTATCTCTACCTTGGCCTTAATAAATAATTTTATTTTCCATACACTTTCTTAGTTTATTTTTTCTTAACCCCCCTATCAATTATTTACTTATAATTTTTTCTAATTTTCGCTTCCAATTATCTGAACACTTCTTATTACGTAATCTTATAATTTCTATGAGTGTTATTTCAGTGTCTATATTTTGTAATCATTGACCTATTTTCCTATTATGTAACATTGATTCAAGCCTTTTATTATTCTTATCACAACTAGTACACCTGTCATTACACTAACAATTTGTACTTTTCACTTATTATTAATTTTGATTATGTAATCTATTCCACTGTTATCATTGACTCATAAACTGCCTTGATTGGTTTAATAATTTCGTATATGCATATAAATATTACTGTATATTAGAGTAAAGCCTGATGAGGATCTAATCGAAAACAATATTGTTCGCTTATATATGTTGTTCTATATAACAAATCATTAATTTGAGGTGATGTAGAAGACTTTTAGCTCAAGTGAATGATTTTCGTTGAGTTTCATACTCTGAGCTGGATGGTTTGATCGTGGAGCTTTTGTTGTTCTTCTGAACAACATCAGCACAAACGTCAGGTAAAAGTGAAGTATTCGAATTTCTCCACATAGGATTTACAGCTTGTGCTGTCGACCCCAGTCTTGATTGAATATTATTGATCCTTAACCTGTCATTGTCTGGATCTTTATTTTGATTATCTTTCCCTTATATCGAAATAAAGATTAAAACAATGAAGAGTTAAGAGTCAACAACAATCAATCAAGATTGAGGTCGACGGTACAAGCTGTAAGTTATATGTGGAAAAATTCTAATACTTCACTTTTACCTGAAGTTTGTGCTGTTGATAATGTTCAGAAGAAAAATGAAAAGCTTCATGATTAAATCAACCATTTCAGAGGACCAAACTACGACAATAAGTTTGAATTTCAACAAATGTAAACAACAGTTCTATTTTATCAGTACCAGCTAAACTTGTTGAAATTGTAACTGTGTACGTCTTTATAACGTGTAACATTTATGATTTTCTCTTCTTGTTGTAAAGTCACAAAATTACTTAATAATGCACTGAAAAATGACTGATATAATTGTTGTTTCGTCAAGCTATAAGTAACTTAGATTCTTGTTTGAAATACTATGTATTCTCTAGACTATCATGTTAGTTATTTTTCAGTGATTTTGAAATAAAAGCTTACAAACTAAAAAAAACTGTAGCTTTTAGCTTGTTATGTACTGATGTTCACTGCATCCTTCCTCAGATGATTTGGAAAATGAAAATTTATCTGCTTTGTCAATCGTAACTGGTCACTATCGACTCAATAATGAATGAGTTATATAAAATGTTGATTTCTAGAAAGGGGTATTGATTTGGAATTTCACTTCATGTTTTCTGACGTTTCTTTTATCCGTTTTACCTTTTGTAGCTTTTAACTCGTGTTCAAGAATATCTCTTGGAATTAAGTCGAAGTCCACCAATATTTGATCGTAAATGTGGTTCGCCATCAACTCAAGGTAGTCCACCTGTTCCAAATGATCAAAAACGTGCGCAATTAGATAAATTATTGCTAGAATTCTCATGTATTAAGTCAACTGGTCTACAGCTTATTGAAAAATTACCTAAAGGCTTATTATCAGAGTAAGTTTTTGTAGGATAAAGACTGTAACGAATTGATGCCAAGTAATTCCAGTTTATTGGAGCTTTGATATGAAATAGCGTTGAAGAAAAAGGATTTCATATTTTTATATTTACTCCTATCTAAAATAACCGATTAATTAGATGGGATTATATCAAAGACTTAATTTTTATTACTTTAAGGCAGTCAATTATCAGACTGAGAGCTCTTAAATTTTGGAATTTTGACCGACTCTTCTGTCCTAAAACTTAAGTTGCTAATAGTCAATAAATAGATGTTTTGTTTTACGAAAAATTACCTTGAGCAGTATAAACTAATGAATAAATTAGCTGATTTTTCTGTTTGAGACAATAGATCGATTAGGAATCTGGATTGTTTCATTGCCCGCAGCGTTTGTTACATGAGTTAGGGTATCTTTTCAAAACTCGATGGTTAATAAATCCAAGTTTATGTAAACATATATCAAGTGTCCTTAAATGGTCCTGTACACTTTCAATTGTAGTTACAATTTACAATCAGTTTGACCGAGGATGTAATTAAAGTACCATCAAAAAAGAAAAATGGAAATATTTTTTCACTCATTGCTTAAAACAAGATAACTTGTTAGCTTAAGAATTTCTAGAATGCATTGCTGAAATTTACTTCACAAATCTTCTGTGGCGCATATATTCAACTAGATTAACAAGTGAACTGTTGACCTTTCCTACTAGCACTGGGAATTCAAGCGATATCTTGAAGACAATTTAATCCTTTAACTTTTAAAATGTTAAAGATATATATCTAATAATTTCCTGTTTTTTATTTTTTTTTAATAGAGATATTATAGTCAACGGACAGATAACTGATGAAGTAATTCGTGTAATACGCCTTAAACTATACACATTGTGGTTAAAAGTAAGAGAATATGAGTATGCTTTGTTGGGTCGAAATTCATTAGATAATACAACTGCTAGTGAACTTGCTCCTGATTGGCGTTCTCCTAGAATATTATCACATTCCTCAAATTCAACAATGAGAAGAGTTGGATCCCTTTTTGATGGTGATTTTAGTCCAGTAACTATGGTTTCACCGCAAATGTCTGCACACGAGCGGAACAATCGACCTTCGAATCCCTTGGGCAATGAATTATGTAATCATAACGGTTCAGAAGAATCAGACGATAGAGGGCAATGTGAATCAGTCATCGTTCGGAATCAGTCCATTGCTCAATTAAGACGAAGTTATTTCGATAAACTAGGCAGTGACATAAGTTTTACAGCAAAAGTGCCCCCGTTTGATAAACCTTCAAAAATAGAGCCTTCATCATTCAATCCGTTTCCTGTAAATAACCAGAAGGAAAGGACAAAATATGAAGAAGATTTGAAACTTAAAGAAAATCTGAATGGATGTGATATGTATTCTAATCACAATTTCGACAGTTTATTTTATGCGGTAAGAATCATGAGTTCCGTTTTTATATGAACTTTATCTGTCAAAAAAAATATATTGCCAAATATATCAGTATTGATAAGGTTTCTGTTATATCGATTGTGTGATTATGCGTGCCGTGTATGATCCCCGCCAATAAAAGAAGAGCGAATTATCGATCAGAGCTATGATACACAAAAACTGTATGAGCAGTCTTGAGTACTTATCAGTCCTACTTTCTGCCTGGCCCAGTCAGTTAGGTCCACAACACCAATGACAGCCTCTGCAATATGAATCATTATTCTCAAACACACTGGGTTTATATACCAAACAAACTGACCACATCATACCATAAAATAGAAAATAACATTTGTACAAGATTTAGCCAAATGTGGCTGTGAATGTGGGGGACAGTAATTAGTAGACTGAGGATAACTCAAGAATGGTAAATCGTATAGTCATAGTTCATAGGTCAAAACAAAGCCTATAATAAGAGAGATATGGATACGAATAGTTTAGTTAGTTAATAATTATACAATAAAAATATACACATAGTATTGGTCCATAAATAGTACTCAAAGTTACCATCCATGAATCTTCACAAGATATAACAGTTTCAATTAAGATCTTATATCTTAGTATTTTCTTTTTTCTACTGCTTTTAATAAAGGTGAAACAATTTCAACATAAAAAATCAATTTTTTAAACCTAATGTTTCCCTTAATTTGTAATAGCACCATATTATTTATATCAGTATTAAATTGTATGGTATGGTAATTACATTGTACAAATGACATATTTGAAATTGATCAATCTTCATTCATCAGTAACGATATATTGAATTTTGCTTGGTATTGTTTGTTTGAATCTTCCCATTGATGTTTAGGATTTCAACTGGTCAGTCTCTAATTGGAATATGTGCATACTGTGTGTATTGCCTCGATAATGCCTTAATTCACAAGCATTATAAGCAAAGATGGATCAATTGCAGTCCTAAAAATCAATGGAAAGATTCAAACAAACATACCAAGTAAATTCAAATTTCACCCTATTGCACAAGCGAGTGGCTATCAAGACTCAGTAGCTGAGTGGATCACGCGATGGCGTATCAAGCGAGAGGTACTGGGTTCGAGTTCCAGAGTGAACATCAACTCTGAGGTGCAGGTACATCCAGCTAACGAGTCCCAAACAGGACGGATTACACTGCCAGTCACTATCCATCATTGCTTATAACAAACTGAAGTGTTAGATTTTTTGATGATGGATAATAAAATAAGAATTTTATTCATTAAATAGGAATAATTTATTTTTAAAATCTTAGATAACTAATTTGAAGTAAATCCAATGTTTCGTCTGGCATTCTGGTCCAAGCTTTTTCAACTTGACACCTGAATACTGTGAAACTGTTCGTTCTAATTTAGACAAAAGTTCTTGTATAAGAATTTCAGTGTTTCATTTAAAGTTACTGTTATAACACCAGGTAGCGCTGTGACTTCAGTCGATGTTAGATATAATTGTTTGTATTGTAATTTTCTTGAGAAATACTGCCATTTGAATTCTTGTTAAAACTAGTGCATGAAATATATAACTGAACTCAGAAAGCCTAAATATTAGGTTCAAACTAGTGGTCACTATTTATCACTATGGTTCAGTTTATAATATGTTGTAGCTATCAATCAATAGTCAGAACTTTCCGATAAACTCATAAGAGCTCAACCTATTCTCGTTAATCGTTACTTATTAATTCCTTTAAATAAATCAGCAAATAGATAGTGATAGATATTTACTAATCTTTGTTTTTTAAAATGCATCTGAGTTAGAGATAAGTAACAGCTGAAATTAAGGATACCAAACTTTAATGGTTGATTATGGGCAATCGGAATACATCAATTGATGTAAATTATTCCATTCCAGTCGAAGGAATTCAAAATATCGTTTTAATCATAAGATCAGTAAATCTTTGGTTTAGACACTGTTCAATGATGCACAATTTTTAGTAGTTTTTCTAACGATATCAGCTCATTAAAGGAGTTATCTAGAGAAATCTGTATGAAAAGGTTTTTAATATTTTCTTCTATTCTCCTCAATTTGTCTTTTATTTCAGTTTAAACGTCAGTTATCAGAATTAACAAGAAACCATCAGACACGTAATCCTGGAGATACAGTAACAGATATAGAATTATTCATTTCTGAACATGATAAAACTAAAAATGAAGCCAATAAAATTTTCGATGAATTCAAACGTCAGTTGAATTCAATATTTAATGAAGATGATTCTAATATTAAAGTATCAAAGCAAAATATTCTTCTCGATGCTAAACAACTTCTTGATAATTGGATTACTGATTGGGCTTTACAACGTGAAAATCTTAATTATCGTCTTGCATTTTTAAATCGTTTAGAAGATTTACAAACAGATCTTGGTGAATGTGTTTCTCGTTTAGATCAATTAATAAAAGCTACTTGTTTATCTGTCAATACAGCTGCTGAAACATATAAGAATCAACAAAATCTTCAATTATTGAATAAATTAGGTGCGACAGTTTTATCCGAAGCTGAAGTTTATCAAATTAATACTATTAATGAAGAAGTAAAAGGAATGTTACAGACAATTCCGGTAATTTTGCTCTATTTCGGTACTTGTGATATTTGTTTTCATTCCTTGTTAAGCTATTTAAAAAAACAACTGATTTTGTCTAGTAAGTTGTAGGCTAAATTTGTTATATTTATGAGCCCATGGCGGCTAACACTGCTATGTTAGTGAGAAGACCAAAGTATCTAGTATTGATTATACACTCATAACCTAATGGTCAACAAAACGAATGAGGGTGACCATATAATTTATGGACAACCGTTAAGCGACGCTAAAGTTTACAGCTACTTACCAGTGTTAAACGAGGGTATAAACCAGTGTGAGGAATTAGGATTATGATTTACAGTTGATGGTTAGGGTTAGGAATTAGATTTCGGGTTTTCATCACGAACCGAAATCAGCTATAATGCCAAAACGCTATTTAGTCAAATGCACGAATGAATTTCGCTCCAAAATCCAACATCTGTTATCTCATATATGATCGGTTCGTCCATAAATTATAGTCTCGTCCGAATGAGTATATTAATATGGTGTGATTATCATGCTACAGCTGACTATAGGATTCTTAACAGAATAAGGTTTCATTATAGATCGGTGCCACAAAGCTGATATGGTCTCTGACTAGTAAATTTTGTGTAGAAAATAGTTTATGTTAATATAAATTTACAACATAGCTGGTAATTATGACAATGAACATTAAAATATAAAATGTGTTATAATCCAGTTTACTCCTACTTCAGTCGTCATTCTCATGTCAGAAATGAGTCTCCTTTAAGAAAACCATTCTGGATATCTGAATTATATTTGTTGTAATAAACAAATAAGCTTTATTACGCACAACAACAATTGAATCCATTCAAACATAACTATAATTTTTTATGTTTAACTACAAATAGATAATGACATAAACTAAGAAATAGATCATAACAATTTTATTGTCCACCATTATCAAATACAAATGATTATTGCAATTAAAAAGTATGTAACACAATTCTTACTATAAACTAATTACGATCATTGAGATCATGAGTTAATTGAAGCTAGGTCACCATGGAAAACATGGAAGAACTGGACGGTCGTTTCATCCTGAGGAGTCTCACATTAAAACGAAACGACCGTCCAGTGCTTCCAGGTTTTCCATGGTGATCTAGCTTCAATTGATTCATGATTTCAACTATGAAGATACTGAAATCTCCACATAACCCCTTCTGATCTATAACCACATGCTCACTAGTGACTGTCTTCAAGAGATATTTCCTGTAGTTCTAGTGGGAAGCAATGACCAGTGGAGTCAAACCACGTCTATTGTAGAGATATCAACTCACTGAAGACAATGGTGAATGGTCGCTCAATTTCGTGGATCGGCTGAACCTAGACACTGACACCGTTGGATGCCGGATCAGTGTTCTAGTGGTTAAGCGCTCTGGCGCGAGACTGATAAGTCATGGGTTGGAAACTCGCGAGGCAGGGTCGTGGATGCACACTGCTGAGGAGTCCCCCAGTGGGACGAAACGGCCGTCCAGTGTTTCCAGGTTTTTGATGGTGGTCTAGCTTCAATTAACTCATGAGCTCAACGGTTGTAATTAGTTCTGATATAAACTAATTAGTTCAAAGTTGTGTACTTAAATCAACAAGGTAAAGTTAATTTTATTATTATGGTATGAGTAAACTAATGAATTGTTCAAAGAAAGAAAATGAAAAGAAATAGAATAGAAACACTTAAATATAAACTAATAAATCGGTCATTTTACATTGAACTATTGGCTTCAATAATAATTATGAAATGTTGATGGTAACAATGCAATAAACTCTTCAATCTAATAGTTTATGCATTAAAAAAGGTAATAAAATTTGTATTTATAATTTATTAATAAGTAGTTTATGAGTAAAACTAAATTTTGACATTAAAAAAATAAAAAGAGCACACTTAAAAAATGTAGTTTTAGTTAAAGAGAGAACAGTCTAGTTAATATTTTTAATAGTTGCAATCATGAATCAATTAAAGCTAGACCACCATGGAAAACTTGAAAGCACTGGATAGCCGTTTCGTCCTATTGCAGGAATCCTCAGCGGTGCGCATTTACGATCCCGCCTTGCGAGATTAGAACCCAGGATCTATCAGTTTCGCACGCGAGCACGTAACCTCTCGACCACTGATATTTCATGAAACTTTTGAAAAACAAGAAAAACAAGGTTTTTCTTAAGTAAAATCAACATATTTACTTTTTATTTGTTCTATTTTAACAAGAAAGGGTTATATCATTTCATTCAGTTAAATAAGATTATTTGACTTGTAAACTATTTTAGGTTTAGATTGGCAGAACCTTTCAGTATGACCTTGGCAAGTTTTTAATAGACATTTATAATTGAATAATTAAATAATTTTTAATTGTTGGTAGACAGAAAAATCATTTGGATTAGTTTACTATTATTATTATTATTATTATTATTATTAATGGTAGTAGTATTAGTGGTAGTAGTGGTAGTAGTAATGGTAGTAGTAGTAATAGTAGTAGTAGTAGTAGTAGTATTAACCTGAATTCATAAACTTTTGAACAAAAATAAAAATTGTTTGTTTATCATCTGACATATATACATTTAGAAGATTAAGTTGTGTATGATCATCCTTTATGGAATGGATTGTTGCATATTGTATTACTCATGGGTGTGATTATTAATTTCACTATGTGTATAAAAATAATCATAGAGCATTATTTTATCTCATTTCATATAGCAGTGATATACTATCTACTACTTTTGGAATACTCAAGCATTAGTTTATTATTATTTAATAGTAACCGTTATTTAGTTCTTGACTTATTCTCTAAGCTGATAACCTTTCTTCATACTTAGTTACCTGAAATGAATCAATGTAGATCGTTCACCAAGTACAGTTACATACATTTTCCTTTGAACCGTTCTTAAGGCTTGAATGCTGCTAATAACGCCTTCGTTTCTAGATTAGATATACGAAAGCCTAATTCGAAATGAATGTTTATTTTGTTAATGTCCGTTGTATTAATTATCAATCCACTATGTTACTAATAAGATGTAAAATATATAAACAATGTCAGTAAATGGTTTTTATATGAAGATGTGTTTTGTTTATCTATGGTTATATAACCACTCAACATTTATGCCTAATTCAGATCTATCTAGACTGAGAATGCAGTGTTAACTTATGTGAAATTCTACTTTGATATAGATTTCTAATTGAAACGATTCGGTGGTAAATTCAAACTTAACTAACCCATTTTTCTTTATTTTTTCTTCCCAGAGTATTTTCATGGCATTTTGTCAATAGTCATGAATGAACATTGGCAACTAACAGACCTTTCATTTCTACATAATAGATATATCATTATAAATAATTCATTCGTATAATAAGATGAAACCGATAAATTACAGAATGTTAATTCGTGCTTTATTAATAAATCTTGCTAACTAACATATAACAGATTGATCATACTGACTATCTCTAATTTTCGTGTCTGTATTTTTTTGTTATTTAAGGCACAAGAGCAGTTCATTCAATCATTGATAAATGAAGTTGAACAATGTGAAAAGTTCCAATTTCCTACTCATATAATGCAAATCAAATCTATCTGGAAAAAGTACACAGAAAATTTAAATATATTTAAATCTTTTATACAAAATTTAACAAAGGTATTCTTAATTACATTTTGTGTATAATATAAATGTATACCTATTTATTTCTAAGGAGTTATCAAATGTAACGTTTGTGTTATTCTTAATGCTGATTGAATAGCGTGGTTACTAGTTTAAGCAATTTCACATGTATTATTTTTCTTTATTAAGTAGTTGAAGTAAGCCATCAATCTATATTTTATATGATTTTAGTCACTCGAATCCCAATAGTAGTGGAAATTTTTACAAAATTGCTGATATACCTAGTTGATAAACGTCAACTAGTTTGCAACTTACTTTTCGGGATTTTCATAGGTTGCCAATAACCATTTCGATAAAGAGTTATAGTAACGGATGAAATAGTTCTCTTAAATAGTCTACAAGTTGCTGTCACTCAAAGATTTATAAAATCATAGTCGCCTTCTAGTATCATGACGTCAAGGATCTGTCATCTAGTCACTGAAAAAAAGTCATGTTAATTTCATGTCATAAGTCCATCCGAATCTTTTTCGTACAACTAGCTTTGTATGGATAATTGTCTATATCAAAGCTGTTGTTAGAACCAAATGAATTGGCGAGATCGAGTTCTCAACTGCAGGACTTTTGCTGAACATTACTTTCTTTTTCAACTCAGAATGATTATTGTTCTAAGGGGTATTTGTTTTAATTACAGCTTGATATTTTGTTCAACGTAAAAACAATTTTATTTCATTGCGATAATCATTTCGAATATTATTTTATGTAGTAAATTAGTGTGAACTTCGTTCGAAATAACGTGTAACATTTGTTGTCCATTTCTCTTTTCTGTAACGCATAATAAATAGACATCAATGCATCAGTGTATTTTTGGTTGAAGTCTTCGCGTTTCTAAAGGATGAACAAGAATCTTCCGCATAATTAGTTTGTGTCCTCCTCCTTTGAGTCGTTCAAACTTCCAGTGGATTTCTTGTTGCATGTGTTTAGTAGCCTTTGAATTATAACGACTGTGTATGGTCTCTAGTAAACTACTTTCCATGTTGTGAATCAGTTTAAATTCTAGTGTTTATATCTAGTTTTTATTCTTCGTACTGTTGAGTGTTTCAGAACATTTTTTCTGTGTTATTGTCGAGAAGTGCTTGTCACAAGCGTTTCAAATAATAGAATACTAACTGAGGACTCTAAAAATTGAGTACAGCTTTGTAGTATGGTATTCAAGAATAATAAGTTCCCCGATGTTTATTTATTTATGATAGCTTTTAAAAGAGAAATATGTGTTTTATCAAAGCTTATGTGATATTGAAATAGTCTGTAACCTACATAAAGTGAAGATAATAGATTTATGGTAAGTATTACTTAATGCTTGTAAATGATATGACTCTTGTGTTCACTTGACAGTTGGATTAATTCACTTATAGTTGTATATAATTTCTCAATAGTTTAACACGAGTACATATGAAAGATACAACCGATTATCTTTACATATTGTTTAAGAATTATTTCGCTTAGTGAAATAATCTATAATCTTGTCTTACTAGTGTATAACAATGGTTCATACAATACACTATAAACAAGCCAGTGTAAATGTTTCTCATCTGGAATGGCAAGAACTCTGATAATCAAGGATGAATAATGGTAAATATTGATTAAAATTATTCTGTATTACTGAATGCGTCATTAGTCGATGAAACGCAAAAGTGAGGGATCGAGGTAGATTAAAGTAGGAGAGACAAAAGGAGTTTCAAGACGAAATAGTGCAAATGAGTTAGTCTACCATAAGCTTAACACTTTGTCTTGTGGTTTAAAAGTTCACTACTACTTGTTATGACGACCAGTTACTCGTTGACCATGCAATACGTGCGATTGATCGTTTAATTTAATATAAACAATGTTCCCTAGTGATGAATAATAAAAATTAACAGATATCAGAAAATAGAGTAACCAGTCAGTATAATCTGAGTAGTTTTCATGTCAAAAAGGAGAGGATGGGTGCTTAAAGATGACGGGGGAAAAGAAATATGTTCGAAAACTTAATATATACTGCAACCTGGAGGTTGATCATACTACTGTTTCGGTAGTCGATATTATTGATAATTTCGATAAGTTTTATGAGTTGCTTATTAGGTTATATGAATATGGGTTTCACATGACAAAAGCTGATCGAGAGACTGAATGTAAATCTTATCCGAACAGGTCATTTAATGTAGGAGCGTATATTTAAACCGCTTTGCCAGTTTACTGTTAGTTCGTATTACTGATTAAAGTCCAAACAGATACTGTATAATGGAATCGGTAAACAATAAACGAACCTATTCTTTTTTTAAGGAACATGTAAAATATGTCATCTTAACTTGAATATGCATCATTACGCAAAGTAAGATGCCGGTATTGAATAATATGATGAAATGTATTGCTGTTTTGTTCAGGGCGTGGTAGTAAATAGGAGTTATAATGGTTATTATGGGATGTTAAATGCTTTTAAAGGTTTTATCATTGTTTAAGTAGCGCACATAAAGTTTACGGTAGAACGAACCGACATTCTTCCATCGAAATCACAGGTCATTTAACTTAAGTGATGATCCAACAAATTAACGACCTTGTTTTCTCAATACGTTTTGATCCTATTTAGCTATATCGATATTTAGTGATCGCTACTTAATCTAGATTAGTTTGTAACACCATGCAATGAGTTTTGTATGGCTGTTCAGGCATTTCATATATGAAGTTCATGCAGACTAATCATTCACAAGACATTAGATTCATGAAACATGATATTTTGTATTACTCATGACAAATTCTATACAATCTTGCAACAAAATTAATATTGGATATGTTGCAGGTCAGTGTTTGAAAATAGATTTTTGGGTAAATATCAAATATCAACCTAGTGAGGATAGTATCAAATGACATTTGTTATAAGCTTTATTTTATCATACATATAATTTTAAACTTTACAGATAATAAAATGCATTATGAATAATTCTTCAGTGCTTTCTAATAAAAAGTTTTTCTAGCAAACCTTCATAAGACATGTAACTCCTTGACCTGACTCGTGATAAAACTGATTTTAGTACAGAACTTGGTTTTTAGATTGTCCTTCCATCAAATCCTGATAGTTAAGTATTTAATAATTTCTATATATACTTGAAATCATGAGTCAATTGAATCTAGACCACCGTAGAAAACCTGAAAACACTGGACGGCCATTTCGTCCTACTGTAGGACTCCTCAGCTGTGCGCATCCACGATTGATGAGTACTGTGACTTACGTTTATTCTTTTGAAAATTTCAGGACACAGGTTTGAGGAATATAGAACGGGTACGAATAAAAAATGTCCATTAGTGTAGGGGCAAATATGATTGATACCCTTAAAACCACAATTATTTTAATGTTACTATCAAACCTGTACATACAATCATCGGTAAGCCAACCCATCATCGTATTCATTTAGTGATATTTAAAATGTTTAGTAGAACATATTATCTAGATGAATTTTGGATTTGTATATCTGATTACATGCAATATCTGATCTTTAAATTTTATATAGATTGTCTTAGAAATGGTGTTTACTTCGTCACTGAACTAAGTGAATTTGTATTGCTTACTTAAAACTGTATATTTCTTATTACTCCATACTGTGCACAGTTATTCTCATTGAATACGTTCACAAATTACCCATATGTATATATATAAATGATCGTTTTCTTATTGAACTACACAAGACTATTATATCATGTTGCCTACAGAGTATCTTTTACTTATTAAGCTATAAATTCTTAAATGTAATTGAGAATAAGTTTTATATTAGTCAAAAGTAATTACTAGTGTTAATCTTTTTAAACTACTCAACTTAAGATAAATATTAAACAATAAGTAGTATACACTCCATACATTTAAGTTTTGTTGAGTTGAGAATTTCTAAGAGAACTAATAAAGAAAACGGTCATTAACATTCTTTTCCCCCTGAGTCTCAATTATTTACTTTCATATATACGTAATATAACTATGGATTTGTTTATTTAGTATTTCTCAAAATTAGATCATCATTAATAACCCTAATAATTGTCTGTGTAAATTCTTTACTATTTATTCATATTTTGTCAATTATCTATCATGTTCAGTTTTAGGTGTCATTAGATTAATACATTGAATTAGCGGTTATTTTACGTTTTGTACATGATGTTAAGTAACTAAGCAATATTATGTATATGTTTAAGATTATTCAACACATCAGTTTGAATCATAAACTTCTGTCATGTGAATCGGCTGTATTCAGTAGTATTGAGCAATGTTGATCACTCCAATTGTTTCTTCGAAGTGTTACATTTATATATATATTCCGAGGGATAACGTTTTCATCGTCTGATATCCTATCCTAGAAAAACTATCTAGATGATATTATTCAATGATGTAAATGACGAGGACAAAATATACAACACAAGAATGAGTGGATTTAATTTTTCTCTGTTTAAATGTAAAGCGTTCCTGGTCTGCTTCAATATATGACACGACCGTAGGAAATGTATTAAGTAGGCCTCATCATCTAACTGATCAACGATTAGAGCGATCTCAACGTGAATATCAAAACCTTGTTTAATTTTTACCAGACTCAACCATATATAATACATTTAACTTTTCCGTCAGAGGAGATTTATAATGCAAGCCAGCTCGCTACTTATTTATGATCATGAAACTTGACTTTTGAAGGTATGCAACAATGATGCTTACTATTATGTTTTCGAAGCATAGTCATCGTATCGCTAAACCACTGAGTAAGTCCAATGCTGTAGTAATGTGGGCTGATCTATACATGTGGCAGACTTTTGAACTAGGTTTTAAAGATATTTTGTAATCTGCCAATTCCATATGGAAATCTGCATAGTGTATTGGTTTTAGATTGTCAACGAAAGAAGGAAGATGTAATTTCATCAAATTCGATATTATGCTTTGTCTGATGAAAAGTATCAATAGAATTTTTTTCGTAAATTTTCCTAGAAAATGTATTTATTGGTAAGCAGAGATGTATAGTGACTATCAGTGGAATCCAGGACAAAGCGCGTTTCGTCCTATTTGGGACTCGTCAACTGAATGTACTTGCATCTCAGAGTTGATATTCACTCCGGGACTCGAACCCAGTACCCTCGCTTCAAACGCCAACTCGTTATCCACTCAGTCACTGAGTCCTGATAGCCAATTGCTTGTGCGATGGGGTGAAGTTTAAATTCATTCATTATTGGATTGCACTGCTAGCCACTATCCATCTCTGCTTACCATGCTTGTGAATTAAGGCTATATCGAGGCAATACGCACAGTATGCACATATTCCAATTAGACTGACCAGTTGTAGTCCTAACAAATCGATGGGAAGATTCAAACATACAATAATGAATGAATGTATTCATTCTTTACATTCTATCATCATTTAATTAACCTTAATACATTTTTCAGGCTTATAACATTATTCCCGAGTTGAATAGCTACAAATCTAATTATTTGTATCGTATATCTGATCCCAGTAAACAAGTGTCTTCATCGAATCAGGTAAATCGTTATTTTTCAAAAATGATTATGGTTTTTTTATTTCATCGGTTTGGGTTACAAAGTTTTGATTGCGTATTACTGTGGCATTACAATGTTTGTTTGACAGTTTTATGATGTGGTTATTTACATGGATTAAGCAATCGAATGGGATGTAAGACACAAATTTACATCAAATTAAGTTGCCCTACTTCACATCAACATATTAAGAAAGAAAATTCATGAGATGAATTGGTCGGAAAAGGGAACTTATTAATTAACTATTATTACTGTTGTACGTATATTAAATTTATGATACTTTCGATTTTAAGATATTCTAGGTTGAAAGGAACTGATAAGAACCTAACGAAATAAAGTGAATCGATTTCACTGTGCTCACTTCTTTACCTTTGTTCTTTTGTAAATTGACATCATTAGATTGGATATTGATTGAATACGATGGACGTAATTATGCTAGATGTTACACTAAGAAAAATATTTCCCGGAGTTGACATCAACTCTGAGATGCAAGTACATTCAGTTGACGAGTCCCAAATGGGATGAGACGCGCGTCCTTGATTCCACTGCTAACCACTATTCATCGTTGCTTACAATGCTTGTGAATTAATGCTATATCGAGGCAATACGCACAGTATGCACATATTCCAATTAGAGACTCACCAGTTGCAGTCCCAAACATCAATGGGAAGATTTAAACAAGTAATACTAAGTGAATTTAGACAGTTGTTTATGTTATTCTGTCTCAAAACGTATCCCACTTCTTATAATGAAACACTTTAAAAGAATGAGCTATATAATGAGTTCATAAGTTTAGTTTCTTTCAATATGAATACCTAGTTAACGTATTATAAATGTCCTACTAGTTTTATCTTTACCACTTGTAATCATTAAATGTAAGAAAGTCGTTTTCATATTTTTCACTTTTCAGATGGATGGTCATAAATTAGAACAAGCTATTTTTGATATAATAAAACCTGATTGTTTATCTCCTAATGCTGAAAATTTAAACAAAATCTCTTCAACATATCCACAAGTTTTATGGTTAATACAATATCTAAATTCTCAATTAAATTTAATTAAAGAATCACAAGAAGAATTAGATATGTTAATGTTAAATATGCGAGTAGCGAGTACATCACCTGTTGATCTATCTGAATTAGTAACAAAATCCCGTAATAATAATATTAATGATCAAAGATATAATGATAAAAAGTTACGTATACAACATTCATCATCACCTTTATATTCCGATGGGAATTCATCGGTTGGTTTTAATAATGATATCGATGAAACATTCAAATCAATACCATTAACCCATCATTCATATCCAAATAATATAAATTCAGATAAATCTATAACACAAATGAATAATAATAATAATTTTAATGAAATTAATTCGGCACCAACTATTTTATGTTCAACATGGAGAATTATTAAACCATTAAGTAATATACAATGTAAACTAGGTGATATGATCAAATTACAATGTTCTTTTAATGGTCCATCATCTAAAGATGCTTTTACTGTATCATGGTTTTATAGACCATTTAAATTGATTAAGAAGCAGTTAAGTTATGGCGTAAAAGAAAGAATTAATTTCACATGTTCTAATGATATAGTTGAAACTATTAAAATAGATTACGCTGAATTAATGATTAAAAATGTTACAGCCTATAGAGCTGGATTATATACTATACGTATAAGAAATGAAGAAACTGGGAAAGCAATGAAAAGCAATGGTAAGTTGGTGATATAATTATTATTTTCATAGTTGAAATCATGAGTCAATTGAAGCTAGACCACTATGGAAAACCTGGAAGCATTGGATGGCCGTTTCGTTCTATTCTAGGATTCCTTAGCAGCGCGCATCCACGATCCCGCTTCGCGAGATTCTAACCCAGGACCTACCAGTCTCACGCCTTAGCACATAACCGATAGACCACTGAGCAGTTGTCCCATGGTGTTGATGTCTAACTTCAACCAATACACGAAATCTGAGCAACCATTCACCATTTGTCTTCAGTGAGTTGATATCTCTACAATAGACGTGGTTTGACTCCACTGGTCATTGCTTCCCACTAGAACTACAGGAAATATCTCTTGAAGACAGTCACTAGTGAGCATGTGGTTATAGATCAGAAGGGGTTATGTGGAGATTTCAGTATCTTCATAGTTGAAATCATGAGTCAATTGAAGCTAGACCACCATTGAAAACCTGGAAGCATTGGACGGCCGTTTCGTCCTATTATGGGACTCCTCAGCACCATTATTATTATTATTATTATTATTATTATTTTAACTTTAAGCAATTGTAACTAGTAATGGAAACTGAAGATTATTATTTGGTCGAGAGTTGGATGAGACTAATAATAAGGTGGTGATTATAATACAATAACCTAATCACTAACTTAGTATATAAGTTAACTGAAATTTTTTCCAAAAATGGAAATGATTGATTCATCAAGATGGCAAAATCTAGAAGCACTAATTAAATTTTAGTGGCCCTTTATCTGACATGTCGCCAATCCTCACATGTAATTATCGACTTAACTCGCGTTAGTGAATAACGGAAGTAAATTAGTCGAATACGAGAATGAAGTTTTGAATACGTATATTTTGTACAATCGTTGATTACAACGGACAGTCAAAGAGACGGAGTGAAGAAAGCGAAACGTATTGAAGGCATGTGGGCCAACTGGATTTACTCAAGTGTGAAACAATGTTTATAGTCCGGACAAAAATAAGTTACAGGCACATATTGAGTGGTGTAAGTAATTAGAACTCATACGATTATATAAAAAGCACCAAACCCTACTAAATCAAACCAGGTTAGACAATTGAAATGCCTAAATTATCTTACTATTTACCGTACTCATATGAACTGTTACTGTTTGCTTTTAATTAAAAATTGATCATGCCACTGGGTTCTTAGAGAATTAGAATATTTGGACAGCTCTTTAACATCTCTAAACCTAGTTAATTACTACTGAAACTGAAAAGATTGTCTCTGAAAATTTTGTTGCTTTTATTCTTGCTTATTGTTTGCCTAATCTACTTTGAAATGGTGAATTTTTAAGGTTATAGTTATACTATGAATAAGTAGAATTGAGGATGGTAACTCTTCTTCATTCTTCAGATAATTCAAAATATCACCGTTGTTAAGTTGAATTTTCTTAGAATTTACTATACAGAAATTGTATTTCAAAAGTTTTACTACAACTTGGACCGATGCATATATGCGCCTGGTCATACGTTGTAGCTGATTGACTTAGATTTTTTAAGTCACAAGTTCCAAACTTTTTTTTATCATAATAGTGATTTACTCATCCAAACCTCAAACAAATGTGATCAATAATACATAAGTCTATTGAGTTATAATTATTGTTGAAATACTTAATCTTATGATAATCAGTTAAACAATCATCTGATCTTTGGTTTGTGTTATTGAAATCAATGTAGATTTTAAACAAAAAAGAAATTTAACCTTAAGAAAAGGAGTATGTGAAACGTCATATGTGACTTTTATTGACTATTATGTTTGTTGACCTTAATTTCAGATGTAAATCACTACATTTGTTATAATAATTAAAGCATTCTCTTGTTAATAGTATACATGTTATTTACCTAATAAGTATTATTTTATATTGATAACATTGACTACAGAGAAATGTGTTGTTCTATTCATTTTACTGGGCTAACACTTCCGAATATACCGAGAGGTTGAAAAGGATCATCTCTTGGATTATATACCGACGATAAATCGTGCTTTCTTTCCGGGCTTCCAGCTTCGTTTTACACTGACTTAGTTGGGATATATAATCAATTGTAATCCCATATAGTCAATAATGGTTTATGTAGGACTGGCACAAGAAGTATCCGGTATGTATAAATTTAGCTATTGAGAAAAGTTCAAAACCTTCATAGAAAAAGATTAAGTTGCGTCTATGTTGAGAAATTAATAGTCGCCAACCTTTTCAGATCATTAAATCACTACACATGTAAAACTATTTCGTTTAATGTCAATCCTTGTTGCATAGAGAATAAAGTTTGCATAATAATAGATCTCGATTAGGTAACATCTTGTAAACTTGTCAGGACTTATATAAAACTTTATACCCTTTTTTTACCTAAACGTTAGATTTACTTTATTTACTTCGTTCTCAATTAAGGCTAATAGAAATGTATTGATATTTAGAACGGAAGTTATTGCATTTTATATGTATACAAGAAAAAAAAAAGTCAATAATAACTGTCGTAAAAGTACGGAAGATGAAACTAAAATGGTATTTAATGATGAAAGAAGATGAATAGAATTATTTTGACAAACTATTTTGGTTTAGTCATTCGGTTTTAGAGTCATAGTTTAGTCAGTTTTCATTGTGATTGATCAACAATACGATTATCAACAAGTCAAATACAAAATGTTAAAATAAATAATTAACAATTGTTATTCGAGAGTTCTCTGTATACCAGTCAAGTATATCTGACACCATATTATCTACGAAGATTAATTAACTTAGTTCTACTCGTCAACTGGAGTGCATTGGACTATTCGTACCAATTGTCGTTAACATAATTATTATATTGCGATACTCAATAACTGTCGTACAATCAGCAGTGTATGCTGAGATTTATGTATTCTGAGGATCAATATTGGTTGTTAGGCTTGCTCGAGGGAAATTTTTTCGTTAACTTTCTCATAAAGATGTATTAGCAAGGACTGTTTTTAATAATTATTACTCATATTTAGCCATTGTTAAAATGAACATAGGGTGTTTCTGCTGAGTTGGGTATAAACTCAAAATCGTCTACAACTTTAAGAATGACCACTACAATATGCTGTATTGGGTCATATGAAATGTAAGCTTGTTATACAGTTTTATGATAAAGGTTATTTAAGTCTCTGGTTACACGGTTTGAAACCAGTCAGAATAAGAAATGTTCGTTATTCCTTAAATTGGAAACATTATTTTCTATATTTTTGTATCTCTGCCTATAATTATTTTCCGTTCTTGAGTTTTCTGTTTATATTTTTCTGTTGTGATTCATTGTATCTGTTCGACAATGATGTTCTGTTTATAGTTTCGTCATAAGATGATGAAGTAATGTACAAGGCTATAGATAGAAATTTAAAAATTTCTAGTAAAGACACTGAATACTTGTATCTGTTAAAATAGTAACTTTTTACCTACTGACTTGTATTACTATTAGTATTAATAATATCATACCAATTTGAAAATCAGCTGTTTCATTTTTTTATTCCAAGCTTCTTTAACTATAATCCCAAATATTCTGGAGGGTAAACCTGATTTAGAAATTGAAACTCTAGATTCATCTACAGGACTCCTTAAACCAATCACAATTACAGTCAGTTATGAAGGATTATGTGTCATTCCCGATGTAAAATGGACGTACAATGGTTCACCAATAAATCACACGATCTGGCGAATTGATACAGATATGAATAGAAGTATACTGCATTCAGCCAATGCACACATTTCTGATAAGGGAGTTTATGAATTTGAAATAAGGGATTATGTGACGAATACAATACTTAAAACGAGAAGTATGTTTTACCCTGTATCAGTAACAATTTAATTTAATGTTTTTGACAAAAGTCCTTCTGTAATACCTTGACAGGAATTGAAGAACAGTATTATAACTAAAATTAACAAAAGTTGTGATATCTGTCGTAATGAAGTAAAATCTGAAACAATAATGTTATAATTTAGGTAAGACCTGGGTTACAATAAACTGATTTAAATGAGGCTGCGATCCAAATCCATCCCTTGGGAAATATAAACGTTGCAGTAATTTCAGAGATACATGTGTTTATATATATTGCTCTAATCATATTAGTTACTTATTTTGAAACCAAAAATTGTTTTAAGAAATAATGGTAGATACTTTACAACGTCACAACTAATTTAATAAGATCATTAAATTGATCGAGATGATTTATTTGGTATAATGATCCAAACCTCATCTAATAAAAGGTTCCCAAAAGAAAAAGTCGCTAACTGATGGATTAAATACCTAGTGAAATCTAATTTATTTAAATTCAAAAGATGAATCATATCAGTAATGAAATTGATTCTCACAAAGTAAGAGATGGTCCTGTAATTCCGTTAGTTAATTTAAACAATGATTTTGTGTCAGATTGACTATTTCAACTGGTTTGTATACAGTGTTCTAAAGTTTACAAATAGCTCTTGTTATTGTAAGTTGAGAACTGGATTTGTCATTTTAATATAAGTGTATGGTTTTGTTATATGAAACACTCAATACTTTGCTGACCAGTGTTTATGTTTTTTGATGTCAGTTTACTGGAACATTACATTTATACGTTGGATCTTAAGAGAAATCATCTCTTGGACACATTTAAGTTAGGGAAATGATCACATATATATCGGAATCCATACAAAGTTTCCCTCGATATAACGGGAGTCAAAACAAAATGAATTTAAGACCACTGATCTTTATTGTTGACAATCTCGTGTTTTGTAAATTAAATTTCTTTAAGAACTTTAGGTTGTGAGGCTGAAGAGGTTAAAACCTTCTCCTTATATAGCCTTTCTTTGAAGAAATATTGTTTTTTGTACACTCACATAATTACCTAAATAATCATTTTCCCTCCATCATGAACATATTCTACATTCTTAATTTATTTGACATACGTGAAATTCATAAGGAAAGAAGGAACTATAAATCATATTGTCTGTTTCCTTGAGAATTGATCAACAGGTAAGTGATGTTACTTGTTATTTAGTCGATTCTTGTGATTTCAAACTACAACTACATAAAATAAAAAATGATGAAGAAAACACAGCTACTTTTAGGAATGTTAATGTGGGAATAAATATTTATCCATCGATGGAGTGGTGATATTCGTCTTTAATATGATTCCTTTATTAGTTATGTAATAAGAAACTGATGTCCATCTTGAATGAATATTCTGTTTACAAACTATAATGTCGATCACCTAATATTATTTATAATTCGATCAATAACCTAGTCTTCTAATAACTGCTGTTCCATAAGTAAATTTTTAGTTTCTTTGTGAAACTTTGCATTGTAACAGAAAAAAAAACATTTCGAAGGATGACAACCTCTCATAATATCTAAGTCATGTGGATTAAAACATTAGGCAGAAAGTCTTTTCAATAGTTGTCTAAACCACTACTGAGATCGTTTTTTGTCGTTCAAGTACCTTAAGCTCAATTAAGAGTGAATTAACATCAGATTAATTACACTAATTACCTAAAAGTTATCACTCTCCAATAATCGTATGAAAATGTTATTTTGAATGTTTTTCGTATTGAAGGAACATTACAGACTCAGTCTTCTGTGCCAATAACTGAACAGCCGCTTGTATTTGGCAATAATCAAACAATTGGCATGGTATTCGTTGGCGATCCAATTGTAATACGTTGCCCATTACCATCCGTAATAAAAACGGGATCAAGAATATCCGTTGATTGGCTACATGATAAACAAAAAATTTACTCAATGACAACAACAGTTGCGAAACAATGTGTCAATAAAGTTATCTCAAGCAGACTAGCTAGTTTCGAAGGAAATCAGTTTCAACGTGGTGAAACAATGTGGCGGACATATCTAATGGATAATCATTGTGTTCTTACGACAGATCATGTTCAAAATACAGATGAGGGTATATACAAGTGTCGTATAAAATCTGACACTGGTATCTATGAGTCTTCAGGTAGTTTAATTTAATTCACAACTGCTTAGTAAATATATTGTTAGACTTTGTTCAATATGTCAGATGTTATTATATTACTCGTCTATGTACATAGTGATAAGTTTAATTGATAAGTGAAAACTTAATACCAGTTAGAGTTAGTATCACTATACCTAGTTAAGTTGATGATGAAGGAATCCCTATCATTTATTATTGATGTTGAATGTACAAAAAATATCAATGTATTATTCATTTTTGCAGTTTTAATTTTGACTATTCAATGTGAAACTGGATCATATTAGTCATAAATATTATTATCTTAAGGTGTTCTCATGAACGTTCGACATAAAGTCCTTGGTTTGAGTTCCTTGTGGGTCATTTATGAATAGTTTCAAAGAAGAATGATACGCGGTTTTAGTGGTTTATTATCTATAATGGTGGTTCATTTGCCAAAACATGTGACTTTTAAATAGGTTGTTGGTTCGAATTAAGTTACAGTCGATCTAGTCGACGCAGTCAGTTAATACCATATACTAAACAAAACAAGAAGAGCAATGATAAATAGAATAGTTATTTCAATGAAAAAAATTATTGTAGCAAAGTTCAGAATTCTTTCACCTGTATAACTATTTGAGCATTGTTGAATTACAACTGATTTTAATTTGTGCCGTAATGCATAAACCTAAACCAGACTTCTAACCTTCACTCTTAATCTTAATTCCTAACATTATATCCTAACCTTATTTTGAACTACACAATTGTTTTGAACTTTACAAGGTTACTTTGAAAGTAGCTAAAGGTTGTTAATATACCCTATCATTATAGGTATTTCGTGTAATTTATGTTACACGTTATGATCCATTCACCATATAGTTGTTTAAGATAAATGCTATCATTCATTGCATTTTGAATGCCACCGACATTGTATAATAAAATAACACTTCGTGGATTGGTTGGAGTTAGACATAAACACCGTCGGATGCCAGCTCAGTGGTCTGTCGGTTAAGTGCTCTGTCACGAGAATGGTAGGTCCCGGGTTCGAATCTCGCGAGGCGAGGTCGTGGATTCGCACTGCTGATGAGTCCTATAATAGGACGAAACGGTAGTCCAGTGCTCCCAGGCTTTCCCTGGTGGTCTAACTTCAATTGACTCACTATTTCAACTATGAAAATACTAAATCTCTACAAAAACCCCTTCTAACATTAAACAATAACCAATACTAAAGTGTTTACATAAAATTCTGAATGACGACAATTAATAGTTTTATTGACCTATACATTACTAGTAAAATTTATCTCCATTTGACCGTTATTTAAAAAAAAATTTTGTTACAATCTGGGTGTTTTGTTCTGGCAATTATCATTATTATCACCTTTTTTAGTGTATACAGAATTTCTGTTTTCTAGTCAACCTTTGATTTCAGATAGATATGTTAATGAGTATGATTTTCATATGTATTATCGTGTATTATGTTTTTTGTTAAATTAAACATTTAACATTTTATTTAGCTACAATACAGGTTTACGTGTAATCTAGAAAAGTATGGTGGTTAGTTAATAATGATTGTATTATGTATAAGTGTTGTTGTCATTATAAATGTTGTTTAAAAAGAATGTTTTGATGTTATGTTTAATCTTTTTGTTTAATTATCAATTCTAATTTCTACTTCACTTCATACTACTTATTTCATTTCCAAGGATTATAAATTTGAGATACTGTCTAAGTATATTTTTATCATGAAAACGTTGCTGATCTAAAAGGAATGTATTGCATTTGAATACAGTTATTTCTTTGAGTACTTCTACTGAACTGACCGAATAGTTCTATTGTATAAGCTAAACTCTGAACTTTATAACAGATATACATCTTCATTTGTTAAACTTTTACAAAATGAAATTACTGTCTAACAACCAAAAAGAATGAATCATGTTTCGTTTATGTTGAGCAACTGTATAACGATGACTAAAACAGCATTTAAAATCATTGAATTTAAATTACAGTACTATGTTGGAAATTATTTTACAATGGGGATTTGTGGAGATTGCAGTAATATTTTGTATTAATTGAATTCATGAGTCCATTTAAACTAGACCGCCATTTAAAACCTGGAAGCACTGGATGGCCGTTACGCATTGCTCAGGAGCCCCATACTAGGACGAAGCAGCTGTCCAGTTCTTTCAAGTTTTTACTGGTGGTCTGGCGTAAATCAGAAATCATTTTGTGACAAACTTTTCAGTCGTTAATATTTATAACCTATTAATTTACATCTTAGTAAAAAGAAACTTCATAATCTCCCCAAACTAGTAAAATTATCTGATTGTTTTGTTTATTTTTTTATTCGGCATTGTTTATTTTTACATTGGTGTCTGGTTATGTGTTCAATACAAATCAAACTTATTTTTTGATTTGGTTATTTTAATGTTTTAATTTATTTTATGTATCTTTTTTAATCTGATTCTATGCAATAATTGGTTTGCCGTAAATATATGTTTGTTGTCATCTGAACAGTATTGTAAATAGAGCAATCGATTTGTGTTTATTGTGTTGTTTTTTTGTTCTATTGGATTTGTAACAAATGATTTTTTTAATGGTGTAGTTTCAAAGTGATTCACTAAATCTTTTTCTTTAAAGGATCCTTATCTTTACTTAAAGCTGTACATTTCTCAAAAGAGTTGCCTACTTTATTAGAAGTCTCAAAGGGTGATCCAACTAAAATGACATGTTGCTTAGAAATTTTACCTTTACAAGACAATAAAATTATCGACTCTGTCAACAGCAATAAGACTTCTAATGATCGAAATATTTCACCACCATCATCATCATCAGTACCACCTTTATCTCAGTTACCAATACCTACAACAAATCAGTGGGATCAATTATCTTTACAAATTAGTTGGTATTTAAACAATGATTTATTAGATATTGAAAAAGCTAAAAAGCTGAACATAAGTACTAATTTTGTTAATGGATTAGCTAATTTATCAATTGATAATGTATCTCTTGAACATGAAGGGGATTATTGCTGTAAAGTGGAAAGCTCAAGGGGTATCATTCAAACATATGGAAAGATTATACTTAAAAGTGAGTAGAATTTGGTTGTTTTTTTCTTTCTTGGTATTTTATTAAACAGATATCATTAGTTTAGTAGTAAGCAAATTATTCTTCGGAGTATATATTATTATTATGAAATAGTATTTTCTCACTATTCTAAAATCTGATCAGCAGGGTTTATCTAAGATCCCTAATGGTCTTATATTTATTTTTTATTCTTATTACGTTTACTGGTCTATTTTATGGATGGATGTAATTTTTTTTACAAATTAATTTAAATACCAACTATGATAATGAAAAATTAAAAAGTTTATCGTTAAGTTACATAATCCTAGTAATAACTGTTCCATTTGAAACCAAATATTACGTCATAGTTGTATGATCACGTCTCATTACCTCAAAGGATAGACAAGAAAGACAATAAACAGAATAATATAAGATAAGCGATTGAATTTCATAGTGTTTAACATTGCAATTAGTTGATAACTTTTTATAGGAGAACTTGAGTAATATTGTAGTTAGCAGATGGAATTAATTAGTTTTAACAAACTTGAATTGGTGGAATTAATTTATCTAATTATGCAGATGGTTAATCGGCAGTTGAAGGATTTAATAAGCTTTTCCAGAATGTGTAATTGAAGCTAATCAAATTGTCTATGTGTAAGAGGATTTACTGAATATTTTAAAAACCTGAAATTATTATTAACAATGAATGTAAGATTGTGGTGTGGGTTATTTATATCCACATAGATGGTATATAGCGATGGTCGGGCACACAATGTATTTCAGTTGAAGATCGTTATAGAAAGAATGGGAACGGAACACAAGTGATTAGAAACTCAACCTCATTGTTGGATCTTGTTCCTGTGATATATTACTAAGCTAAACATATAAAGTTGATTACGCCTATTCATGGTGCAACTTCATCTCAATGGTCTTAATTAAGGTTGTCAGATATTTGCATTATTTTAACCTTTCGATGTCTATTCATAGAGAATATTGTTGATTTATTATTTTGTTATTCTGTTTAGAAATTCTCCTGATTGATTATATCTTTGTAAATGAACCGTGTCCCCTAAGTAACAATTAGTGATGCATTAAATTAAGTAAAGTATCTTTATTGTTATGAAAGGCAAAATAAAAAAGGTTCATTTTAGACCTTCGGGATATTTCTAATTTCATCATAACTCTTTGATCTCGATGTGATCTTTAAAAGTCGATAGTAAAATAATCGTGTATGACGACATAGAATAAAGTACCTTTAAACCATACTGATTGTTACGACCTTTTTGATCGTTGACAATAACTACATGACTTCGTGATTGTTTGATCATTTTGAAAGTAAATACTGAAGTGGTAGATTTGAAAATTTGCTTATTATGACCTATCCTAAAATCCTAGGTAAACCTATATCAAACACATGGATTTAAGGAATAATAATAATATATAGCGTAAAATTCATATATTTTTTTTAATTTCAAAAATCTATCGAACGGTTATTGTTTGACCTATAGTTAGTTATATGTCACTTAGCAAATGAACATTTAAGTATGAATCTAAAGGTCATCAAATAATTCATAGTGATTCATTTCTATCTGTCATTACAAATGACATATAACTTGAGGACATTAAGCCAGATATTTGCATATTGTACATTCACTGAATTGGCATTTCAATCTGAAATTTCGATCAAGTTAATTGTGTCGTCATGACACGTGGACATGTACTTAGCTATTAGGTTGATATTAAATTCAACTTAAATCAAGCATCGAAAGAAACATTTGTAATAAACTGATTAGACGTTAGTATATAATTTCAAGTCAAATTAATTTAATTTATTTTATTTATTAACTGTGTTACTCTATAAAAAATCTATGATACTTCACACTTTAATTGCATAGGAGAACCTACATCTTTCAAATTTACAAATGATGGACCTAAAATCATTGGAGAAATTCTGAAATCACCAAATCCGATTACAATTAATCAATGTCTAACACTTACAGTAAATTATACTTCAAATTCAATGCCTGAAATTATATGGTTGAAAAATGAACAAAAACTCGATATTAATAGTTCTCGTATTAGGGTAAGTTTAGTGTTCTGTTAAGTTTGATAACCTCTCCTGTTGGTTTCCTTGTTTCCCGAAGTTTTGGTTTGCTAGTTAATTTAAATTCAGCTATTACGTAACGGATATCTGTTTATTATTTTACAGAAAATACAGTAATATTCACTTAGTATTGTTTGTTTGAATCTTCCCGATTACGTTTAGGACTGGTCACTCTCTTATTGACCATATGTGCATACTGTACGTATTGCCTCGATATTGCCTTAATTCGAGTCCCAGAGTGAACACCAACTTTGAGATGCATGTATATCCAGCTGACGAGTCCCAAATAGGACGAAGATTGCGTCCTGGATTCCACTGCTGGTCACTATCCATCTTTGCTTATAAATACAGTTATAGTTTGCATCTTATACTTATTGACACTCGAAAAACAGACATTTATCCGTTTCTCATGTTTCATGCATAAAGTACTTGTAGAGAATCAACAGGTTTCAAATTTTTTCGGAAACTTGTGTAATTTATCAGTCAAACTAATACTGAATTCGTTACATTTAGTTTTTGGATATTTGTAGGCTATTCTGTTGTGAATGAATCCAATTTAACTCACATTGGTTGATGATTTCCTCTCGTGCCTCTACTTAGACTTTCAAATCAAAACATAAGTTCGATGTAAATCAATTGAGTAATTTTGTAATCTACCAGTCTCATTCTATTTAGTTTTATTTTATCTATCCATCTTATATTCATTTAATCTGTAGTTGTGTCAAATAGATATGGTTTACTCACTGCACTTCATGTCACTGGTTCATCAAATCTCTGTAATTCTTTCAGTTATGTCAGATTTATATGTGTTCTATACAGCTAAAAAAGATTGTGGATACATTTCTTTGATACCATATTTCAAGATCTTACGACAATGTACACATACAGTTACCTTTCATGTTACTGTACATTTTATTTTTAATCTTCTCGTTTGGTTTATCATAATTTTATTCTCATCAATATTAATGAATTCTTCATTCATAGTTGATTGTTTTTTCGATTGTCTTATTTCTTTTTAGATGGATACCAAAAACAATCAATGCGCTTTAACTATTTTTGACACAAAACCAGAGGATACCGGTTATTATACTGTAAAATTGAGTGATTCTTTTGGTATTGTCCAAGAAACAATCTTTATTGAAGTGAAACAGAAGACTGTAAATGAAATCACTAGGTGAATTAATTATTCCCTTTTTATTTTTTATGACGACCAATAGTTTAACATAAACATTTGTTTAAACATATTGATAATTTGTACAGAGAAACACCTTATATCAATATGTCAATGATATACACGAAATGATCATTTGTCGATAAGCAATATTATTTTGTTTTGTCTTTGGTGTTAATTAAGTTTTAATCGATCAAGTTGGTATATTCAAGTGACACAACATGATTGATATAAAATGGTCAAAGATAACTGACCAGAAAATCGTCTTCCGTTTGCAACAGTAAGTAATAGGGGTTGGAATCTTTAGTTAGAATTCTACCACCAGAGTTATAAGTTCATCGATGAGCGTTACTTACAACTATTGTTGATTACTTTAAAATTTACAATATAGTCAGAAAATGAGATCCGGAAGATTTCTAATGACTTTTGTTTAACTTCTATATTGTCAATGTACACAACATGATGTTTGTGAAATTTCTTTCAAAATTCTATCTTAACTACTATATTGTAAAGCAGCAACCTTCTGAAATTGTTTGTATATACTACGCAGAGAAATAATCGTACGAAATTTAAAGCATTTTGATTTCGTTTCTAGATTTTCAGTTGTTTTGTCTCATCTAATAAATGCATGTATCACAAGGAAAGTTTCCTAGAATGGAATGACTCCGTAGTTCAGTTACCAATGTTTTGCGTTATACTACTTACTATTCCAATTTAACTGATAATCAACTAAAAATAATGTATCCGAGATCATTGTGTTGTTAAGATTCGCTAAACTGTTCTCATAAATCCATGAAACTTGACGAAACGTACAAGTAAAAACGCTACTGAATAATTTGACGTAATCTAACTTGTGATTCTAGTATTGTGGTGTATGTTACTGATGTCGAAAATATATATAGCATGTGTCACCAATCGAAAGTGGAACGTCTGGCGGCAGTAGGTTAAGAAGACCAAAGAAAGGAGAACGAGAACAGGGAGTGATTGGTACGGAAACGACGGAACAGTGAAATGTTATAAATTCCCTCATTACTACCCAGCTATTCCTATTGCTTAGTATTCTTGAACACCAATTCACTCGGCAAGTCCAAAAATCAGAACGCGGTTGAAAAGGAAGAGATTATATTCCAAATAGCAAGGGTAGATGGAAGTAAGAAGTGCAATAAGAAATACGTTGGTATATTTATAATTTTTATATGAGAATATTCTAGTGTTCTCCAAGTATCGGCTGGCGCTAATTGGATAAGAATCAGCCAATCAGCGTGCCCCGACGCGATCGTGCATGGAACATGCTTTAATCCAATCTATGTCCCGCTAACATGAAGTCTGAGACAATGGATTGACATGTTAAAAATGAAGTATTTACTGTATGGTTCTCAGATTTTAATAAGACGTTCTCTTATATTGTATCCAACTACATTCGATCGTCCCCACTTGTGTTCTCGTTCACTACAGTACTACCGAACTACAGGACTAATAAAATTTATGAAACTGTTGGGTTAATTTTTTCTAAACTTAAGTTCTACTCGTCGATAATTAAACCTCATCTCAACAGATTTTTGAAGATGGAATAACTTAATAAAGGTATCTTAGAAAATGAATGTTGTAATTTATATTCAAAACATTGCATAAAAAATAGTATGATATCAGATAACAATCAATTGATCAAGAGTAAATCTATAGGTTGCGTAGCAACTGATACTTATTTGTTTATATTTACTCTGTCAATATCATTTTAAAAACCTCTTGATTTTAAGTACTGCTTTCAGGGTTTTTATATAGTTGTATAATCTGTGTTACTGTGTATACGTTTCATTTCATTACTTGTTTATCTGTTTTGAATTTACTGTTTAATTTATGGAAATTTTATTTCTAGTCAGTTAATTTACTGTTTTCATTTTAATAACACACTTCCTGATTCATAAATCATATGTTGACTTTAAGTTCTAGTTATTTATATGAAATAGGTTATACTCTCAAGAACTAATTCTTTCGCCCTACATCTTATATTTATATACAATATTTCTATTATATATTTCTACCGGCTCCCAAATTCCCTGGTACGGCAGAGAGTGGGGAGAGTCCGCTCTCCCTCTCAAAATGCTCTCACATGGCCACGCGTATATAGCCTCTGCCAGGGAAGTCCTACTCACTGCCTTCTCGCGGGATTACTGTTGTTTACGAAATTGAGAGGACGAAAAGCGAATGTCCGGCGCTTTAACCGTGTTGGTGGACATGGAAAGTCCACCTAGGGGAGTTGGAAAACCCTGATTCCAAACCAATGGTGCCCATGGACTCCAGGATCCTGAGAGAACAGATGGCGCATGAATCAATCGTTGGTCACCGGCTACAATGGAACTGCATCTCTTCACGATGCTTTACTGCCTTGTGGATCAGACGTTTAGATCAGAGGCTCCGGGTGTGGCTCCCTAAGAAAACCACCTGCTTCAGTTTGGGCACGTGTGCAGTATCACAGCTCTCACACAAATCGAATGAGATTTGTGAGGCGCATATGTATCTGGTTCCCCTTTGTACCAAAATTTATGTGTTTAAATAAATATTACTACCATTGAATTAACTACTTTTGTCAATTTGGTGTTCATCTTGTTGTGATAATGGTGATTGGCAACTTGGAACGATGGGTATATGTGCCTGGTCCTACGTTGTAGCTTACTGACTCACGAAATTAGTTTTAGTACTCAGTTTCCTAGTTACTCTGAAAGCCGACGTGTAATCTTAATGTAATTATATATTTACAGTAATACAAGAATGATATTATCTTGAACCTGAAATGTGTGGAGCTTATGAAATGATCATAAATTCCAAAAAATTGTATTTACTATCAAAGCTTTATTAATATTTACACTGATTGTGAACAAATGTACTGTAATCATAAATAGCCAGTACAATCAGCTGTTCGCTAGAAAGACGTATGCATTTGTACACTGATGAAGTTGATTACTGTAAAAGCTAATACTGATGCTTTAATTTATGTCTCACAGTTCTCAAAAATCTAACCAACCTACTTTCTATAACCATGAGTTGATAATAATAGTAATATCCAGATTATGTTTTTTTTCTTTCAACATTACCTACAGAATGAAAGAAGATTCTTTAAGCCCTAACGATCACATTCATAATAAATGTGTTCCAAAGGAGTATGTTAATAATGTAATAAAGCAAACAACTGTTATTCCGACATCTGAAAGTTATTTGAAAGCAAAGTCAATCATATACGGTCCATTGGACACAAAAGTAAATATCGGTGATACTTTGCGCCTGTTTTGTATTATACGACGAATGCAAGAACCATTTTTTGTTCACTGGACACATAATGGACAAATATTGAAAAATTCAGCACTAACTAATCAAACAACTGGTATACAAACCTGGGCAAATTATCCTAAGAATGGATTTTATATTTTAGAATTAAAATCTGTATCTGTACAAGACAAAGGATTTTATGGAGTGACTGTATCTAGAGTACTCGATATATCTGGTAAAATGGTAAACGAAACAATAGAAGAAGCTGTTTGTTGGGTTGATGTTGAAGGTGAGAGCTTTTCACTTAAGATTTATGGGATGAATTTTAATGCAACTTAATGTATTAATAAGTCATTCTCAAAGACATTGAAAGGGTTTTTAAGTTGATCACTCTCATAAACGTCTACTTGAATATTCCAACTACGCAAGTTTACTAAAATATTTCTTTTTTTTTCTCTTCGGGATATTTTACAAATATCTTAAAGACCAAGAAATAGTAAAACCCTAGGTTTTATAGCTCGATTTCTTCCATCAATTCAGTATCAAAAGTCCGTGTTAATTGAGAAGGGTTTTAGGCTGCCTGAGAAAGTTCTTATGATTTTTAGTTTATTCAGCTTGAGGTTGGTCATAGTAGAAAATGATGATGTGCCGAATTCCATTAGATAGACAAATTGAATTTCTTTAGTTCATATACTGATCAAACCTATCTTTTATAGAACTGGGAGTTTGACTTTATTTAAAGAATTACCAATAACTTGAATAACAATTAAAATGATTATTCATGTTAACCTTTGGGTTATTTGAACTAGATGAGTTACAATGGAGTATTGTTTATATCTTGTGGCCGAGTGGATGCCTTGCTTATGTGTGACGCGATAAGACCGCCAATTAGAGAGCAGCGAATTATCGACTAGAACAGTGACACGAAACCCGTACGAGCAGACTAGATTGCTAACCGGTCCTGCGATCTGCCTAGCCCAGCCAGTTAAGTCCAGAACACAAATAACAGCCTCGGCAATATGAATCATTATTTACAAACATACTGGGTTTTTATACAAACCAAAGTAATCGATAAACTGATTATAAATCAAGAATCGTATGATCATAAATCAAAGATCAAAATAAAGCTCATGATAAGAGAAACACGAATATGAATAGTTTAGTTACGTAACAGTTGTACAATAGGAAATAGGCATAATACATTGGTCGATAAATAGACCTAAAAGTTAACATTCGTAATTCACCGGGGGATATAACAATTTACATTTCTTTACTTTATTGTCATTAATTAGTATTCGTTACTTATTCATTTTTTGTTTATTTACGACTGCTACATAGTCTTACATTGCACGAAAAAATGCTATTCAATAAATAATTCATAAGTTAAACAATCCTTTTTCATCATGTATTCCCATTAATTGGAGACTCATAGAATATAAGTATTAATGAATATTTGTTTCTAAGTCTGATTAGTAATAGGTGATTTAGTCATTTCCAATAAATTAAACACTGAATAGAAGATTAATAATAGAAAAAAATGAAATATTTGTAATAACCTAATGAGTAGAAACTTGAGTTCCTGACTTTTTGTAACATAATCGAAATTGCTTCTTGAAAGTAGATGAATAACCGAATCAAATCAAGTTTAGATAGTATAGAGGAACAAGGTAGAGTATTCACTTAAATCAAAATGAAAATAGGTTTGAATACGTCAATGTCTTGGTAGTTTGATCAAATCGATTCTATCTGAGACATAACTTTGTGTATTTATGTTCGTGTTAGTAGGTGCTAAAAAAGAATGAAATGTTTTGTATCATTACTGATTTATTTGTCAGAAAATCATCGTGCTATATGTTAATTTATGAATTTATCGAATGTTAAGGCTAAGCTTTTTTTATGAACAGATCGTTTGAGGTAAATATGATCAAAATGGGGTTTGTTGATATTGTAATAGTTTTAATAGTCGAATTCATGGGTTAATCGGAGCTAGACCACTATTGAAAACCTGGAAACACTGAACGGACGTTTCGTCCTAGCATGGGGATCCTCAGAAGCACGCGTCCACGACTTCCTAATCTGGATTCGGTCTCGCGCGTGGATGGCTAACATCTAAACCACTGAGCCGGCATCCTAAGATGGTAATGTTTAACTTTCGTCGATCCATGAATGGTTGCGCAACCATACCTGTGTCTTCTACACACGGATTGAATATTGACTCACAAATTCAACTATGAAGTAAATATATCATAAGTTTTGGAATAATGGACTTTAACTCCCAGTATAGTTAATGTCCAATCAATATATAGCACAAATTTTTTAATTTCAGTGAATTATTATTATTTCTAAGCAGAGATGGATAGTGGCTAGCAGTGGAATCCAGGACGCGCGTTTCGTCCTATTTGGGACTCGTCAGCTGGATGTACCTGCATCTCAGAGTTGATGTTCACTCTGGGACTAGAACCCAGTACCCTCGCTTCAAACGCCATCGCGTTATCCACTCGGCCACTGAGTCCTGATAGCCACTTGCTTGTGCGATGGGGTGAAGTTTGAATTCACTTAGTATTGTTTGTTTGGATCTTCCCATCGATGTGTTTAGGACTGCAACTGGTCAGTCTCTAATTGACATATGTGCATACTGTGCGTATTGCCTCGATATACCTTAATTCACAAGCATGGTAAGCAGAGATGGATAGTGGCTAGCAGTGGAATCCAGCTGACGAGTCCCAAATAGGACGAAACGCGCGTCCTGGATTCCACTGCTAGCCACTATCCATCTCTGCTTACCATGCTTGTGAATTAAGGTATATCGAGGCAATACGCACAGTATGCACATATGCCAATTAGAGACTGACCAGTTGCAGTCATAAACACATCGATGGGAAGATCCAAACAAACAATACTAAGTGAATTATTATTATTTCTGTTTGTCATTAAATTTTATGTTTATTTAATTTTTACTAGGTCAAAAGTCTTCGGAAAAGAAAACCGCTCCAGCATTTATAGATGATGAATTTTCTCCGATGATGGAAGTAATAGCAGGTCAAGTAGTTGAGTTAAAATGTAAAGTGGTTGGTAATCCGTTACCTTCATTCTTTTGGCTAAAAGATGGTGATATGATGTCATCAACCAATTTGAATTTTCAGGTAAGTTGCTATTATTAAAGTTCTGAGGGTTTATTTGTACACAGAACTGAACAGAATTTCTCATTTCGGTCAATCACATTATTTCTATCCAGGTAGTTTTCGGAAGTTTTGAATCCTTTCAACGCTATTGATAGGTATTGTGACTTTGAAAGTGTATTTTAAACATGATTAAGCTTTCTCACTAGTGAATGTTAGTATAATGAATAATCAGAAGTAATCAATTATCTTTTTGGCTAATCTATGTAGCTTATAGTCATTTGGAATATTCTTCAAATTTCTTTTAGTCAATCTTGGAAGATACGTAATATTATTTTGATTTTGTCTGTGGAATCATGTTATTTACATCTGATAAAACCCGCTTGTATTAATATTCAGTGATACTGTAATGAGCATGAACACGAGTGGGGACAATCGAATGTCTTTTAACACAACATTACAGAATATCTCATTAAAATATAAAAACCATATAGTGAACAGTTAATTTGCAAAATAACCATCAATAGTCTTAATCTTGACCTTTCCATCTGTAAATATCAGTTCATCGTCTTTGATTATTATTGTTCATACATTTTCACACCGCTTGCGCTTCGTTCCCGTTCTTTCCTTATCGATCTTCTACTGAAATACATTTAATGCCCGACTATCGTAATATATTACTTATGTGGATATCAGTATCCCACACCACAATAGTACATTTTAAAGAATCATTTTAACCTAATAGGACCTAATTATACTTAAACATGATATTTCTAGAGTTCCTTATAACAAGAATCAGTTTATATTACCTACCGTTTAATGTTCTACTAAATATATCTGAATAAATTATAGTTTATCAAAGGAATCATACATTCAATTTATTCTATTTGTTCTTTATCTTCAAGATATCTCAATCAAAGGGTATGTACAAGTTAACTTTACCAGATGTAACTAAACAACATTCAGGAATATGGGATTTAATTAGTTATAATTCACAAGGTTTAATTATTAAATCATGTCAATTGTTTGTCAGTGAATACTCTAATGGTTATATAAAGTCGGATAATAATGAAACAATTATTAATATAAAGCCTTCATCTAATAAATTTCAAGAAATTAATAAGTTAATCAATAAGCAAGAAAGTTCTGTTAAACAGAATATGAATAAAACTTTGGAAACTCAATCTAATTCATCTGGAACTAAAGGTATTACAATGCAAAACTCAAAATTGGAACCACCTGAATTTGAAATTATGTTCACGGATAAAGTTATGAATGTAGGAGAGACAGTTTGTTTAAAATGTTCATTGAAAGGAAATCCAAAACCTGTGGTAAGTTTAAAAGATTTATTGTTATAACTAATCAGTTATTTATAAGGTACATAGTTTTATGTAGTAACATATAGTTACAAGTAGTCACAACTGTATCATAAGATTTTGGTGTCTGTAAATTTTAGAATAGTTTTCATTGTTTATTAATGTGATTTCATATTTTATACCGCGGTTTGGCTCATGTTGCTTAACAATATACGAGAGAATAATTCAGTAAGTTAATATGGTTTAATTTACGACAGAAAATAACTGTGAGTTTACTGTTATGCATACTTCTCTAATAGTGAACAAGGACACAAGTGGGGATAATCGAATGTATTTGAGTACAAACTTACCGAACATCTTAGTGAAATCTGAGAAGCATACAGTAAATACTTTATTTGCAAAACGTCAATCAATTGTCTTAGACTTCACTATTCCTATATTTCCACCCCCATCATTCTCTGTTCTCGTTCTCTTTTCTTTGATCTGCTTGACCTTTTGCTGCCAGACATTTCATTTTCGAATGGTGATTCATACTACTTATATCTGTTGACATCAGTATCACACACCACACTCTTATCACTCAATAGTCACTTTAACTCATAATCCATATATCGGCTGCAAAATGTTTTATACTGAAGTAGACTATTATAGTTCAGTTTTTGTTTAGCATATTCTGGTTATCTATAATAATGTTCTTTGTAAGTGTACTGCTTGGATATAGCCTAACATTTATTTTAACTTGTTAAGTTAGATTCCGAGCTCACATTTCATCCTGTGATTTTATTTTTTATTGAAGAAACATGTCTTTTTGATTGAAGTTATTACCGATTTACATTTGAGATAAATTCTTCGTTCATTTTTACTAGGTTTGCTGGATATGTATATAGATAGATTAGGAAATATTAGTCCTATACTTTGGGAAATTATTTTTTTATATTCTCGATGTGTCTTTTCTGGACATGACACCTATCACCAAGCCTCTTTATGCATTTAATCCTGTAATGTCTGAATGACATTTTAGACGCTAATTACAACCATCTCAAAGAAACTATGAGCCTAATAAAAAATTGTGCAAAATTCAATAGTACTAAAGCAATAGATTTTGTAGCAATGTTATATTGAATTGAGAGTGTAAACTGATTATGAAGAAAGTGATTTAAGTTAAGATCACTATTTATGATGCTATGATTATGATTGTATTCCCAAATAGTTGCATAATAAGTTTGATGATAAATAGCAAAAAGGCACCTTAAATTTCAAAATACAAAAGGTTGAGTTTTAAAGTAATAAAGATGACCTCCTGTCATGTTGTCGCATTTATCATGATGAACTGAGTTAGGGAGGATGTCTTCTTCATCAGAAAGATTGATGATAAATATATAGTTAGACGTATGTAACAATCGAATGGTGTGAATTTTTCAGCTTGATTGATTGGGGCTCACAGTACGAAGATATGAATTACACTGAAACGTTAATTTCGTTGTCTTGCGATTTTTCTACTGTTTCATTTACACACAAACTTATAGAGGTAGTAAAACATACAGAATGCCGAAGATTTGTTAATTCTGAGTTATGCTCTTTGTTATACAATGTGACAGGTGAAGGGATGGGCTTTTTATAAGTTATGTCGACTCAGAGTTCTCTAAAAGTATTCATTAGTCACTGTTGAGTGCAATTGATTTCTTAGAAGACTATCTCTGACTACCTGGTACAAACATCATTTAGTCTTAACCTAGATCAAAAGCGATGCAGATTTTTTCTTCAGCAGACTTTATTTTCAAAAAACGTTTACATTTAAGTGATATGAGTTTTCAATAGTTGAGATCATGAGTCAATTGAAGCTAGACCACCATGAAAAACCTGGAAGCATTGGATGGCCTTTTTGTCCTATCGCGGGGCTCCTCAGCAGTGCGCATTCATGACGCCGCCTCGCGAGATTCGAACCGAGGACCTATCAGTTTCGCGCGCGAGCGCCTAACGTCTAGACCACTGTACCGGTGCTTCCAGGTTTTCCATGGTGGTCCAGTTTCAATTGACTCATGAATTCAACTATTAAATTACTGTAATATCTAAAAAACACTTCTGATATGAAATTCTTTATAGAATCATCTAACTTATCATATATATAACATTGAACATACATATCCACAATTTATTTGCATAGCGTTTGAACATTTACCGTAATTACATAAAACATCTTTAGTTAATTAGAATTAGTGATATTTATATTATGTTATTACATCTTTCAAAGTTTACCATGGTTTACTTTCTTTTCTAAAGGTACAATGGCGTTTTAACGGGAAAGTACTTAACTTACCGACTGAAAGAATTTTCATGATCCAAAATAAAAATGAATATATATTATTTATTTACAATGCATGTGAAAATGATACTGGACGATATGAAGTTACCGCTGAAAATGTTATTGGAAAAGCAATTTGTTCAGCTCTACTAATTATAAACAATTCAGCAAAATCTCGGTAATGAATCAATCAAATCGTTTTTATTTTCTTATTAGGTTCGAAAAGTTTCTGTGCATAAGTAGTATATAATTATTAAATTTTAAGGTTTTTTATGGTTGAGATCATGAATCAATTGAAGCTAGATTACCATGGAAAACCAGGAAGCACTGGACCGCCATTTCGTCCTTGCGTGAGACTCCTCAGTAGTATGCATCCACGGTCCTGCCTCTCGAGATTCGAACCAAGAACCTACTAGTCTCGCGCCAGAGCACTTAATGGATTATCTATTCTTAATGTGATATTTTCCGCAGATCTATAATACGAATTTCTTTTTATATTTATTAAATTGATCAACATCCATCATCCTTTATTGCCAAATATATAGTCGAAACAGGCCATAAGATTGATCTAAACTCGGCTTTTATGGTGTTGTATAAAAGTATAAAACGGCGTATCAGTCAGTCAGTCATAACGTAGAACTTCGTACGTACGTACATCAGTTCGAGTTGCCATACCACATTAGCACAGAGATGCAGTTGTCGATTCAAATCCCATAGTGGTAGAAGTAGTAGGAGTATAATCACAAATCCAAAAGATTAGGGTTTGAAGAAATTATTGAAGGAGTATAGTACAGTGAAATAAATTTGGAAAGAGAAAAAGATAAAGACATGAGGAATTCAGAAGATTAGAATTTGGTAGAACACAAAGAGTGGATACACCTTCGCCATTGCAAACGATTTTGAGCCATGTCATTCAAGGTCTCTAACCATCGGTTGCTATCATCTCGCGAATCCCAACCAGGTAGTCTACACCTAACAACATGGCCCAGTCCACTTGTCAGTGACTTCATTGATTTGTGCCACGTTTTGGTCTGGCCACCCCTAGCTTTCTTCCAACCTACTCCTACACCATGAAACATTGCACGTCGGGGCAGTCGGTGGTCGGGCATACGTAACACGTGTCCCAGCCATCTCAACTGAAGTTTCACTACTTCATCAATCGATTTGCCATCCCTACCTAGTACTCGTTTCCTAACAACTGCATTACTTACCCGGTGGTCCCAGGATATACGAGCAATCCTTCGAAGACATCTATGATCGAACACTAGTAGCCTACGAATATCCTCTACTTTTATCGGCCATGTTTCACTGCCATAAAGTAGGACGGAGCGAACTGCTGCACAGTAAACCCGTCCTTTGGTTGCTAGACGGATATCTCGCCTACGCCATAAATGACGCAAGTTGGCGAAAGCTAGACGAGCCTTCTGTATCCGTGCTGAGATTTCGTCAAACACCAGACCACAAGGGCTGATGAGACTCCCAAGATAAATGAAGTGGTCTACACGCTCAACTACTTCACTCCCTACCATTAGTTCAGGTGTCGCTGCAACCCAATTCTGAAGTAACATTTTGCACTTCGAGGGAGAGAATCGCATCCCCAACATGCCTGCATTGTTGCTTATAGTGGTCAGAAGACTCTGCATTTTGTCAGCGTCTTCACCAAATAAAACTATGTCTTCGGCGTATTCTAAGTCAACAAGTGAGCCTCCTGGTAAAAGTTTAACTCCTGGAGGTTTAGCTGATGAAAGTGCTATCTCTAAAAGTATGTCAATGACAAAGTTAAACAAGAATGGGGAGAGTGGACAGCCCTGACGAACGCCACTTGTGGCAATCAGTTCTGATGACAGTTTGCCATAGGCTCTAACTCGACCAGTTGTGTTCGAGTAGAGAGCCTTTATGAGGTTAATGTACTTCTTTGGTACTCCTTTCAGTGACAAACATTGCCATAGAACCTCACGATCAACAGAGTCAAATGCCGCCTTAAGGTCAAGAAATACTACTATTGTGGGACGTCTGAATTTGTGTCTATGTTCTAGAACCTGACGTAGGGTGAATATCTGGTCTATGCAACCACGTCCAGGTCGAAAACCAGCCTGGTTTTCTCTAGTCTGCTCTTCACGAGCTTTGGTCAGGCGACCTAGTATTATTGAAGCTAATATTTTAGACACTATATTAGTCAAGCTGATCCCTCTGTGATTGTCACAAGAGGACTTTTGTCCTTTCTTATAGACTGGCACAATCAGTGATTGGGACCAGTCAGATGGAATTACGTCCAGTTCCCAGATTTTACCTAAGACCTCAGTCAATCTCACTGCTAGTACTGGACCACCATCCTTAAAAATCTCAGGGGTCAACCTGTCAGGGCCTGATGCTCTCCCTCGCTTCAGATTTCTTATAGCTTTTACAACCTCGTAGAGAGTTGGCGAACTTATCTCAATTTGCCATTCAGGACGACTGGGGATCGTGGGTAACTGAAGTGTGGCTGAAGGCCAGTTAAACTGATCCCTAAAGTATTCTGCCCATCGATCCAATCTCCTGGATTGAGAATGAATGAAATGCCCATCTTTGTCTGAGATAGTTTCGCTAATAGTTGGGTTCCTAATGCCGGTTTCTTTAATAAATCTGAATCGCTGTCTGCTGTTACCTATTGCCGCTACCTTTTCCATCTCTCTTACTTTCGCTACCCACCACTGTTCACGATGATTGCGTAGGCTTCTTATAAGCCTGCGCTTAAGTTGACTCCGCTCTTCGTTATGCTCAGAGCCAGGTGGGATGAGTTTACGAGCATCTATCAGTGCGGTAGATGCTGCCGAGATCCATTGTTTCTCCCTAACGTTATGGTTTACCTTACTAGCGGATATCACTGCTGTTTCCACAGCTTTTCTAATATCATTCCACGCTGCCTCGGGGTGGACACAACTTACATGGCTGCCTAACTGTTTTTCTAGTTGTTCCTGAAATATATTCTTAGCTTGCCTATCATTAAGTAGAAGCCTTAGAGGCTTCCCTGCAGTGTCTTTCCTACGACCAGTAAGACGCAGACAGATACGTGCTCGCACTAGAGCATGATCTGAATCTAAACATGTGCCCCAGAATGAGCGACAGTCTTCTATCGAGCCCCTCCATCGGTGGCTGATAGCGATGTGATCTAATTGGGTCCAACGTTGGGACGAATTCGGGGGTCGCCATGTCAAAAGATGTTTTTCCTTATGCTTAAAGTTAGTATTTGCAAGAAATAGGCGGTTATCTGAGCATAGCTGCAACAGACGGTCGCCATTATCTGTTCTTTTCGCCATGACACCATAAGATTCACCCAGGTGCCTTTCCCTTTCACTTAGTTTACCTACTTGAGCATTAAAGTCACCTGCTACTATTACTACATCAGAACGCCTAGCTTCTCGGAGAAGGTCAGAAAGTTTCCTATAGAACTCATCTTTTATATCGTCTGAGCTGCAGTCAGTGGGAGAGTAGGCAGAGACGACGAAGAGGCAACGACGAGTTTCCCTATCTTTCCGAGTCCTTACTGATCCGTTTAGTCGGACAGCGCATAGACGACTGTCTACTGGGATCCAGTCTAAAAGAGCTAGTTCTGCCCTAGGACTTAATGCTATACCTACGCCAGCGAGGCCACGGGAAGCAGCGTCAGGGCTTCCAGATACACGAAGCGTGTATCGAGATGAATCTTTATTTTGATTAGGTGCGGTCAAATGAATGACACTACTCGGATCTTGTATGCGCGTTTCGAAGACGCAGCACACATCGATGGTGTAAGATTCTAGAGTCCTAGCTAAGGAAGCCTGTTGTCCTATTTGGCACAATGTTCGGACATTAAAAGTTCCTATATATAGTTTAGAGCGTGGTTTCAGGAGACCAGGAATAACGTTCTGTGTACTCGAATCGTTTGCCCTAGCGGTGCGAGGTGATATAGGGGCGTGAGAAGGGTTAGTCGTGGAGATAAGAGTTATTAGGAGGTGTAGGGATGATTTGAATGTGACCAATTTGGTCTCGTGTGCTGTTACGGATATGAGGGCTAATATCACTTCCCGGCTGCCCACACTGTGGATGGGTGTTAGGTGTAGGAAGGATTTGAAAGCGACCAACTTGGTCTTGTGTGCAAAACGGCGTATACTAAGGTTTATTGAAGCCTTAGCCATGCGATAATTCAAACCCTCTTTGCGTTAAACTGACCATGGTAATATTAGCTTATTAACCACAGTGATTAGGTTTCAAATTGTTTTCACATTATTTTTATTATTATTTTCCTTGTCTAATCCTACCCCCCGTTTCCAGTCTAGTTGACCTTTTATTTTTATATATAAATGTTTTTAACAAATGATAAGATTGTTCGAAATGTATAGCGCCAATGTATCACATAGTTCTGATAATCTTCTTATCGAAACATATCAATTTAATTTCAAGTTGTCTTTTGATGTCTCTCGAAACTCTAGTTCGATCGCTAATGTGATCAGCAAAACGGAAAGTTCCTGGCTCCTTATTAATCACAAATAGGGATCTTACCGGATAGTGCTATAAGTTCTTTGTATCTGACTTAAAAGGTAATCATCTCAAACTTTAGTAATGCTACTTTTGTAATATTATGTGATTATACGATGGTGGAGATTTGTAGCTCAGGTGGATGATTTAGTGGAATTTTCTTTGAGCTCCGCAACCAAACCATCGAGCTCAAAGAACAAAACACCAAAATTATATGACTGTATTTCGAATTATGTGGATTATCTCCCAACTTGGTCAAACTAACTTCATTATTTATGCAAAACCATTGTTTCGGCAACTCATTTTGTTTTGCTTGAATTTGGTTTCGTACAGGCATAGTAGACCATCTAGTGAACCAGAATATACTGCAACAGAAGCTGAGAAATTAAACGCTAATCTCCATAAATCAATGGAATGTTGTCATTCAGGAACACAGACTCCTGAGAAAAGAAAATCTACTCTTATTCGTTCAGTTAGTGCTCCATTGGAATCTGAGTGTAGTGATTGCTGTAGCAAAATGCTTTTACGATGTCATGCTTGTTACGCGCCTTTAGTCCGAGAACATGAAGATGCTCGAGCAAAACATTCAAAGCTTAAATCTGAATATTTGCCATCTCTTTATAATGCAGTAAGTTTCATTATTACTGTTAGCTGTATTTTTGTATTCCTTTATTGACGAAACTAAAAGATCTTTTGCATGTGGCATCGTTTTTAGTATCTGACTTCTTTTTACGACTATCCCTTGAAACATTTTAGTCGCTCATATACATGGATGATTCCTGTGATATGTTGAAAAAAGTATCCTAATCGCTCAGTGATCTAGTTTGTTGATAACAATATTAATAAGTTGAGTGGTTGACGAAGTAATGAAATTTTCATAGCTTCCTTTTTCAAATTCATTTATACTTTGCGAAATGGATTAAATTTAATTTACTTCTTAGTGTGATGTCTTGTTACCACTAAGGTGTAACTAGGAAAATGTGGTGACATACACATAGTGAATTTTCCTCTCTTCATGGTTTAGTTATAAGTGTGTGTATACCCTGCTTTAGGAGTAAACAGGGATAAATATTGTATATTCACAATTGAACTGACGAGTCAGTCTGAGGTCGACCACCATTGAAAACTTGAAAACACTCGACTGGTGAATTCAACTGCGAAAATACTAAAATCTTCACAGATCCTCATACTGGAAATAAAGTATGTTTTAATTAATTTCTGTGCTGTAGTTAGTCGGTATAAGTGGTTGTGACCAAGAACTCTAAATCAGGCTAAAACGTGTTCCATGGACTTACGTTTTACCGGAACCCTTGGTTAGCTCAAGCTTTTTAATAGTCTGCATACTCAAACAGAAAATAATTCCTGATTGTGGTATTCTTTTCCAAAACTTTTAGGTTACTCATGACCATATAAATAACTACTGGTTAGTTTTTACAGACATTAACTTTAAAGATATCACAAGTGTGTTTCCATATTTTGATTTGTTTATAGATTAGGAGACTTGAAAGAATAATGAATTTTTGTGAATGATAGGAAAAAAATAGTTCTGTATTAATTGTCCCATTTTTACAAATGAGCCAAATAATCATGATTGAACATCTGAGTCGTTTGTTCAAAAAACATTTGAGAAAGTGTACTGTTCAATGTTTCATACAATACTCATGAACATTTAGTTATGTCTATCTTTTATTGATTACAGACTTATTCACGATCAAAACCATGGACCGTTAGACGGCATAAATGTTCAAGTGGTATATCACGACGAATGACTGGATCAAGTACACAAACTAGGTAATTTAATGTGATATAGTTTTTTTATACCTCAAACGGATTCATATCTATCTTACATTAAGGTAAACACGAGCTAGATTAAACGAAAAGAACATAAAACACTTTCGATATTTTCAGCTTAAGTAAATTATTAATGCAGCATGCGCATAAAAATGAAGGCCTGGATTGAATTAATTATTTATTTGTGCATAAGGTGTAAAGTGGTTACGCAAATGGATTTGCTTGATAAAGTTTCTTAGCCTAATTTTATTTGATTTCTGGGAATTAATAATGCTTACACGGTAACAAATGTCATTGTTAGTATCATTCTATTACTGATTCTTCTATGGATCCTATAGATCGTGAATATGTTTGAAATGAATTCACTTCAGATATCCTGGCTATCATTTTGAACACCTTTAGTCCATAATTCGAAATATCTGATAATTTCAACATTGTTAACTTCGGTAGTTATGTTCACTTTACTGAAACAATTTTTTTTGATGTTTTTTTTCATATGATTACCACTAAATAATTTGATTGGTTTTAAACAACAATACTACTATTAAAGTTCAAAGTAGTTCAGTGAGTTGTTCAAAAATAACAGCAGACAGCTATGGTTTTTCGAAATTTATATAAAATGTAGGCGATACTATTGATTCATAACATTGAAAGATTAAACTGAATTCATAAACAAGGGAGATTTATCAGGGGGATTGGAACGATTTTTCATCTTTTCTGAAGTTAAGTTCGCGACAGCTTACTATGCACTCTCTTCGTCCCGTTTGGACGTATGAGTCTCATGGTTCCGGAGATCTCTATGAGGAACCGTTGCTTGATTCAGACAAGTCATCGAATTCTTTCTTCATCATGCTGTCATCAGAAATACGCACTTTTTAGTTCATGGGAATTGCATCATCTCACTTTATTCATTTTGCAGCAGGTTGAGAAGTGTTTTATATTGATTGTTAGGAGTCTTAAAATCTTCAGATCTTTTCCTGAGTTTTTGCTATACTCTGTTTTTTAATGTATTTGATAACATGTTGATTTACGATAGACGTAACACATCGTTTTTGACATGAAAATTTTGTCGAAAATATAGTTAAGAATTATTAACTTCTGTAGACTACTTTCTTCTCCTACTTTCAAATGTAGTATATATCCATCAGCGGGATACTAAATGGAGCATATCCATTAGAATAGTCCACAGTTTTAAAAAAAAATGGTTTTAATAAACTTACGTAAATTCCTTCGTATCTGTAACAAAATAGAGTAATTTCTGTTTATACTCTCTCCCTTGTTTCTATGTCTTAGGCTATCAAGACATCGAAGTGAAAGTTCTCTATTACATCAATGTCCTTACTGTGATACATTAATGTTGCCAGTAAATCCACCAAACTTATCAAAATCAAAAATTAATAAAATTGAACGTGTTTTAAGTTTTCCTGATGAATATTATCAGCCAATAGAACAACATTTATCACAAGAAGAAGGAGAAGATATTTATTATTATCAACCAAATTATAAACAAATTATTGTTTCACATAAGACTACACGTACAAAACATATGAATGTTACAAAAACAACTGAATCACATTTACCCATATCATCTTTACGTGAAAATAAATTATCATCACCAACATCAGATGTACTTCATAAATCCACAACTAAACTTCGTGAAATACCAATTACAATACAACGTGACAATGGTTATGATCAAATGAATAAATCGCATAATCATGCAGTTCAGAACAAAACTAATCCATCTATAAAGAATAATTCTCAATCAGAGGGAACAGTTAGTATTGTAGAAAGTTCAGATAATGATTCTGCGGTTTTTTAAAAAAAACAACAAATCGAAGAAAACATTTCGACTTTATACTCTACTGTTCACTTCTTTAATGTAATAGTATATATTCTAATTGTTAAATTTTGTTTTACGGTTATTTTTGGACTTCGGTAATCCTGTACATTAAATCTATTTAATATGCTAATCACTGTTATAATAAGTATGTATACTGAATTTTTACATCATTTACACTTGTATTACTCACAAAAATTAATAATAAATAGTATAATCCTTCTGAAATTTTATACATGCACAGATAGCTAGGTTATCCACTTATATACCCTGATTGGATTATTTTCACCTCAATAAAAACAGTTGTATCTTCGGTAATCGATAAAAAGACGGAATCATCTTTGCGGTCAGGAATTTCTTAAAAATCGCCTGTTGAATTCAGTGCATTAACAATATGCTTTTTATGTTCTGTGCTACTGTTTCGGTTTTTTTTTAATCATGTGAAATAGATAAAAAAAATATTATTGTTCTGTTTGTGTGGTGGTTACATTTCAGGTTTCGAACTGTTACAAGAAAATAAATCAAGGGTAAAATTTCATTCAGTATGCTTTCTCTGTGGTTAATTTTTAGTGAACATTACACAGCACTTGTTTTGTTGTGAGGTTATGTTGAAATCTTTTATAGTGATCAAAAATCTACTGTTGAGAAATGGTAATCACTTTGTATAATGAAATCAACTTTAAGCAATGTCTAATGTATAAGGTCAACATATGGATTTTCTGTAGTCAATACTGTTAGTAAACTGTAAATTGATTTTGTGTTTAACGTAAAACAGGGGTATATTATCATAAAAGGTAGAAAAAGGTTTGTTAAAAAATACTGATTAGCCACTGAGTAGCGAGTAATTTCAGGTTTAACTGGTCTTGCTTAGTATTGACTGAATTATATTGATCAATTAGCAGTGTGGCCGGAAATCTAAGTGACTCAACATCGAGTGGATCATCTTGAGGTATAAGATGGCTGCAGGCATTCGACAGGAAACCCTTGACCTGGATTTTGATGTAGTCGAGACTCAACATCAAGGTATGTCTGTAATCCTAAGGGAACTTGTGCCCTTTGGTAAATATCTCAATTGTATAGGAGATCATGCGCTTCTCAAAATAGTTCAGTTGTAACATTCCAAACTGTGAAACTCTTTGATACATGATCGAATTCACAAAAAAGTATAAATTCTTTTGACATTTCAGGTGAATCTTGTTGATGAGTGCCACACAGCACGAAGTGTAAGTCCAAGTTTTTCGATCGACTACCTTTGACAATTTAACATTTATTTATTTAGACTAGTTATTATTTATCTGGAGAATGTGTAACTGTAAATTGATTGTTCAATGTGGTTTTCGCAAATAATTTAACCAAACAGTACAAAATATTATATAATGTAAAGTAAAAGTGATCTCAATTAGATTTATATGTTTCTAGCAATTACAAATAATAATTTATTATTCTTCGGTTGACAGCCTTTTAATAAACCATCATATCCGAAACTTGATTTGTTCAGTGGTCAAAAATTAAAGGATTCTTATTCTATGATAAAATGAAAATCTATCATTTCAAATGACACTATTATAAAAGAAATCAGTTTATTTTGAAGGGAACCCTGTTTCGAAATTTGTACATCATTGTATATTTATCATGAGAAAAAGATGCTCTTATAGCTTTGAATTTTACTAAATTAAACTTTTAAAATCTCTGGTTTACTGTTCCCTCTAAATGATTTAAACTCCTGAAAATAGAAGAGTATAAGATAGCCTTCTAAAATCTTAAGTTGTTGTGAGGCAACTTGAAAAAAAAGTTTAATATTATGACAACAAATGCAACCAATGGAATACATTTTTATCAGATATTTCGTTGGCAATAGCCGAATACCGAAACTTCATCTTTTTAGTTCCAATCCAGTCTAAACACCTATATAGATTAATGATCAAAGAACTTTCCAGATTAGGCTTGATTTGTTCAGATAGGCGACATGTCAGTCTGATTATTAATTAATTTTCATAAGCTACCACTTACAACTGTTACCCTCTTGGAACACAAGCTGCAATTCATGATTAGCCGACTAATTCTGTCCTAGGCTCTCCTTTGCAATTGTTTCTAATTACAATTTATTCTTTTGATGGCTGCCACTAATTCTCTGCTCAATGTATTCTTTGATCTTTTAGTCTGTTTGCTTTTGGAATTGCAAGTTTCGGCATGCCTCATGATGAAGTCTGATGATTACCACAACGTATGTCATTACCACCACCAACGTCATTCCTACATTCCCCTTCTAGTAGAAACCAATTCGTTCTCTGTCAAAGTATGTTGGTATTCGGCCAACGAACATTGAGTATCTAGGGCAGACAATTATTTATATAGAGTAGATGGCACTGGATAAAATACATTGCGATCCCCTCCTGCTTCGTTTTGAATGGTGCTTAGATGATTCTGGACCCATGGCATTTCCATCTTATAAGTGTTTTTCTTGTGCCTCACCGGACATCATCAATGCAAATCCTTGCGTGTACGGAGCATTTTATTTTTTAGGACTAGAGTACAACAGAACCTCTGTCCAGCTTGGTTCCAATGTGTTTCAGATATTTCAAGCAACATCAGGTTGTATCTCCTCATTTCCTTAGCCATTTGAATGATCCTTCATGTGTCCCATATTAAGCCAACGTTCCATGAACGTATATTATTCGTTACCCTAGTTTTTAGAATGGACATCACTCTCGTGATTTCCGAAGAATCTCATCTATTACAATAAAGTATCCTAGTTTCTCTGAATGTAGATCCTTAAATTTCCTGGAGAGAGTTCAAGTAGTTGAAATGATTTATTCTTGTTGGCGTTTTTTAGCAATATTTTTTTTCTATGGTATAAAACTACTGATCACATTCCCAAACCTCTACCTTTATCCGGACTAAATCCTTGTTAGAATATCGCTTATTGTCATTTGTATATGAATTTTTAAGGTAATCAGGAATTAATATTTTGTCTTCTTAGCTAGTGAATATCTATTATTATTTCTTTCTCCGAAATCGTCTTCACAATATCAGCTTTATATAAAATAGCCTACATGAAAATTTTGTTTACTTAATAGTAGAACACTATAAAGAAATTCGGGTTGTTTTAATTATCATGAAAAAATAGCACACGCAAACTATTGCATGAAAAACTATTTTTTAACAGTAGACAGTGATTATTTACAATCCACTTTTGAAAAAAAAGTTTACTGAATTATTTCAATTTATAATGTTAGATTGTTTTTAATCAACTTCACTCATCACAATAAACATCACTGAAATTTAAAAAAAATGTTTAACAACGGTTGCCGGAATCTTACTTACATACTTATTTACTTGCACACGATACCTTCAATGGAGCATAGGCCGCCGACAAGCGTACTCCAACCCACTCTAGCCTGGGACTTCCTTTATAGTTCTAACCAATTTTGGTTCATTCTTCTCATGTCTGTCTTCATTTCTCGGCGTAATGTGTTCTTTGGTCTTCCTCTTTTCCTTTGGTACTCGGAATTCCATGTGAGGGCTTGTCCTGTGACTAAGTTTGGTGATTTCCTCAATGTGTGTCCTATCCACTTCCAGCGCTTCTTCCTGATTTCTTCCTCCGCTGAAATCTGGTTTGTTCTCTCCCACAGTAGGTTGCTGCTGATAGTGTCTGGCCAAAGGATCTGGAGTATTTTGCTTTGATAACTGTTAATAGAAACTTCTGGATGATGGCTTTCGTAATTGTTCAAGTTTTCTCCCCATACAGTAGAACTGTCTTGAAATTTGTATTGAAAATTGTGATCTTGATGTTTGTCTTGAGTTCCAGATGTTCTCCAATTGTAGATATGCTGCTCTTGATTTTCCGATCCGCGTCTTCACATCTGCATCAGGTCGTCGATAATGCTGCCCACATATGTAAAGGTTTTTACTTCGTCCAAAGCTTCTCCGTCAAGAGTTGGTTGGTGCATGGTATGTTGTATCGGAGAGTCTTGCTTTTCTCTATTTATATATTGATACTTACTGCTGATGAGGCTGCTGTTACACTGGTTGTCTTCTCTTGCATTTGTTGTTGTGTGTGCAATAGAAGAGCCATATCATCTGCGAATTCTAGATCGTCCAGCTGCATCCTAGCTGTCCATTGTATCCCGTGCTTCCCTCCAGATGCTGACGTCTTCATGATCCGGTTGATCACCAGAAAAAAGAAAAAGCAGCCTTGCCTGACACTGTTCTTTACCTCGAACGAGTCTGTGAGCTGTCCACCATACACGATTTCGCAGTTTAATCAAACATAAAAAATCCGTATGATATTGACTATCTTCTGAGGTACGCCGTGGTGACAAAGAAGCCTCCATAGTGTTTTCCTGTCCACGCTATCAAACGGTTTCTCGTAGTCAATGAGGTTGATGTAGAGTGATGAATTCCATTCAGTTGATTGTTCCAGAATGATTCGTAGAATTGCGATTTAGTCTGTGCACGATCTATCCTTACGGAATCCAGCCTGTTGGTCCCGAAGTTGTGCGTCTGTGAGGTCCTTCATTCGGTTTAACAATACCCTGTTGAAAACGTTTCCTGGTATCGAGAGAAGGGAGATGTACCTGTAGTTATCACACTTTTGGAGATCGCCTTCTTTGGTATTTTGATCAGAAAACCTTCTTTCTAGTCTGTTGGTACTTGTTCTACATCCAAAATCTTACTGAAGAAAATGTGGAGTATCGTTGCAGTTACTGTTACATCTGCTTTTAGTGCATTTGATGGAATGTTGTCTGGTCTCACTGCTTTGCCGCTCTTGATTTGTCTGATGGCTATGCTGAACTCTTCGATTGTTAGTGGCTTAACATTGATTGGAAAGCCCGTGGGAGCTACTTCGATGTTGGGTGGCTTCCTTGGGGCTTGTGGATTCAAGAGTTTTTCAAAGTGCCCTACTCACAAGTTGTTCTCCACAGTAGTTCCCTCTCCACTGATTAGATCATGGAAAACCTAGTACCTATTGTTCAATGCTTTCTTTAATTTTTTTTAGTTTGTCAGTATCCCGAAGAATAGCCGTATTTAACTTTTATGATATTGTTCACCTCCTTTTTCAGTGCTCTTGAGTTTCAGCTTCATCGTGGCGACCAGCAAGTGAAGATCTGATGCCATATCAGCTCCTCTCTTGGTTCTCACATCCTCCATCCTCTTTCTGAACTTTGTATGGAAGCAGATATGATCAATTTGGTCCGACTCCCAGAGTGAACATCAACTCTGAGATGCAGGTACATCCAGCTGACGAGTCTGCAATAAGACAAAACGCGCGTCCTGGATTACACTACTAGCCATTATACATCTTTGCTAACAATCATAAACTTGAATTTGGAATTTGTGAAACTTTCTGATAATTTGATAGTTTAAAATATCGAGTAATGGATAGTATCTTTTTAGTAGGTTGCATACGGTGGAACATTTAAGAAAAATTCAAAAATGCTAAGTACTAAGCTTTACATCCTAAAATAATTTAATAATTCATTTATTCAGTGATAGATGCAAAGAATACCATCCTATTTAGAAATAAAGTGCTAAGAGCCATTAAGTGATATTATGTGCTAATTCATTTAAACAAAATACTACAAACTCAGTTAATAGATATACTTCGATTAGGTTTTCTGTTAACCGGTTGCTTTCAAGTATTTATTATGTTGATGTTAATGTGAAGCTATAACCTTAAGTGCTTACATGTAAATACAACAGTTAAATGCAAAATAAAAATAGAATCATGGTCATAATTGTACATTATCTAATGTCTTCTCCATGGAAAAATAACGTTACATATTAAGGATAACAATGATGAGAACCGTTTTGTCAAATAATCAATAGTTGATCTCAAAAAAAAAGATTATACCTTTTACAACAATAATGTCAATCACTTAACTGTAACAAGTAATAATGTTACATCCGTTGTTCAGGTTAACATTATTGAGTAGCTATGCCAACAAAACAAACAAACTGAGAAAGTTTAATCATGCATGTAAATAAATCATAATAAAATGTGATGTATTACTTGATGTAAGGGAAAACAAGCATAGTATAATAAACACTTTTGATTACTTAATACTGACTATGGAATAAAACTTTATTGGAAACTAAATGTTTCACTTCATGAAGAATAGTCATTTCTAGTAGTAGCTAATTTTGTTCTAATCATTTTCTCATCTGCTCCATCATAAGTACACTTCAGTTTGATCCAATTAAGATTAATACTTGTAAGTAGTTTATTACGTCATTTCAAATTATTATTGATTTGCTTTACATGATAAAGTTTGTTCCTAATGTGAACAGTAAAGTATTGATTCTGAAATCAATATCATATCCAATGTAGATTGAAATATTTCAAAATGGATATTGAAATCATCATACAAGTGGTCATTTGACTGAGAA